TTTTGCAACCCACACCGGATAGGATAATAGGAATAGAATAGAATAGAATAGAATAGAATAGAATAGAATAGAATAGAATAGAATAGAATATGGAATAAATAGAATAGAAGTAGAGTAGAATAAGAATAGAATAGAATAGAATAGAATAGAATAGAATAGAATAGAATAGAATAGAATAGAATAGAATAGAATAGAATAGAATAGAATAGAATAGAATAGAATAGAATAGAATAATAGAATAGAATAGAATAAAATAGGAATAGAATAGAATAGAATAGAATAGAATAGAATAGAATAGAATAGAATAGAATAGAATAGAATAGATAGTGGAATATAGAATAGAATAGAATTATAGAATATAGAATTATAGAATAGAATAGAATTATAGAATGACAAAATGATAGAATGATAGAATTATAGAATATAGAATTATAGAATAGAATAGAATATAGAAGTATGGATTTATAGTATAGAAGTATAGTAGAATTATAGAATAGAATAGAATATAGAATTATAGAACAGAATACAGAATTATAGAAGAGAATAGAATTACGAATAGAATTAAGAATAGAATAGAATAATACATAGAATTATAGAACTATAGAGTGATAAAATGATATAATGATATGATAGAATTATAGAATGATAAAATGGTACAATTATAGAATTATAGAACATAGAATTATAGAATAGAATAGAATATAGTAGATTTATAGTATAGATTATAGTATAGAATTGTAGAATAAAATAGAATATAGAATAATAGAATAGAATACAGAATTATAGAAGAGAATTACGAATAGAATTAAGAATAGAGTAGAATAGAATTATAGAACTATAGAATAGAATTAGAATAGAATAGAATAGAATAGAATAGAATCTGGAAGGGACCTTGGAGGTCATCTAGTCCAACCCCCTGCTCAGGCAGGAAACCCTACACCATTTCGGACAAATGGCTGTCCCGTCTCTTCTTAAAAACTTCCAGTGTTGGAGCATTTACTGCTTCTGGAGGCAGGTAGTTCCACTGGTTAATTGTCCTCACTGTCAGGAAGTTTCTCCTTAGTTCCAGGTTGCTTCTCTCCTGGGTCAGTTCCCACCCGTTGCTCCGTTGTCCTGCCTTCTTCAGGCGCTTCATAAAGGTCTCGCTTTGCGACGGAAACTTTAGGCTCCGTCGTGGACGCTATGGCGAGGACTGCCTGTCTTTTTTCCAGGAATATTTCGATTTTAAAAATAAAGAAAGAAACGAGAGGGTTTTGTATTTTAAAGGCAGGAAAAGCTGCTTGTTTTGTGTTCCGGTCAATGAGTAACTCGGAAGAATTTGGACTTGGCTCACCTTTGCTCCGGCGGATAATCGGGAAGGCTTAGGGCCATAGTTGGGTTCCCACCCGGAGCGAGGTTGCCTAGGACGTGGTTCAAAGGGACTCCCGGTGTGTTGAAACGGCTTCCAGATCAAAAAGGGTTGCACAACTTTCCCTTGCCCCCCCCCATTACAAAGTCAACAACACAGGGTGGATTGTGCAAAAGCCCGACAATCCACCTGCCGAACGGGTGACCGAGGAATGGCAGGGCCCGGCGCCCAGATATCGGTGGGACTCTCGGATTTTTCTGGATTTAAACACACATAAACACACACACACACACACACACACACACACACACACACACACTAGGAGACAGTTTGATGGGGCAGGAGGCCAGGGATTCAACAGATCTGAGAATCTGGACTTGGGTGATGGTGGTTTGATTTTATACGTATAAAAAGTCGTGTCGGAGGAGAGAACGGATGGGACGTCAAGCAGGACGGTCCGAGCGACAGATAGATAGATATAGATAGACAGACAGACAGACAGAGATAGACAGAGAGAGAGATAGGCAGGCAGGCAGGCAGACAGACAGAAAGACAGACAGGATGGATGGATGGATGGATGGATGGATGGATGGATGGATGGATAGAAAGATAGATGATAGATACATATACATAGAAATATAAATAGATAGATATATAGATAGATAGATAGATGAGATAGATAGATAGATAGATAGATAGACAGACAGACAGACAGGAAGACAGATACATAGATAGGAGATAGATGATAGAGAAAGCGATAGACAGACACACAGAGATAGATAAAGAGATAGATTAGATTAGATAGTTTGGATAGATAGATTATAGATAGGAGATAGAGGATAGAGAAAGAGATAGATAGATAGATTGATAGAGAGAGAGAGAGAGTGACAGACAGAAAGACAGGATGGATGGATGGATATGATGGATGGATGGATAGATAGAAAGATGATAGATACATATACATAGATACATAAATAGATGATAGATAGATAGATAGATAGATAGATAGACAGATAGATGACAGATAGACAGAGATACATAGATAAATAGATGATAGATAGATAGATAGATAGATAGATAGATAGATAGATAGATATAGATAGATAGATAGATAGATAGATAGATGATAGGATTGAAAGAAAGAAAGATGATAGATACATATACATAGATACATAAATAGATGATAGATGATATAGATAGATAGATAGATAGATAAATAGATACAGTAAATAGACCGATGATAGATAGAAAGATAGATAAATAGATAAATAGATGATAAATAGATAGATAGGTAGATAGATAAATAGATAGGATGGAAAGAAAGAAAGAAAGAAAAGAAAAGAAAGAAAGAAAGAAAGAAAGATGATAGATACATATACATAGATACATAAATAGATGCTAGATGGATAGATGATAAGATGGAGCAGAGGGGGGGGGGGACCTGGGACTCCAGAATTCATCCGGGGGTCTCCGGCCGCAGGCGGCCCTTCCCTCTCCTGCAGGCAAACGGATGACAGCGATTGGACTCAGAGAGTCTCCTCCCTTGAGCAGGGGGTTGGACTAGATGACCTCCAAGGTCCCTTCCAGCTCTGTCATTCCATGATTTTGTAAGGGTCTCCTGCTGGAGCGGGGGGGGTTGAACAGATGATCTCCAGGGTCCCTTCCAACTCTGTCATTCTATGATTCCGTAACGCTCTCCTGCTCGAGTGGGGGGGTGTTGGACTAGATGATCTCCGAGGCCCCTTCCAGCTCCGTTGCTCCGCGAAGGAGCATGTGCAGAGCCCTTATATCACATAACCTGCCTATACTCTAATGCTCATGTTGTCATTCTCCGTCCTGTCTCTCTCCTTCCCCTTTTCCCAGCATCCCAGGGCTTTTCCAGGGAGAGGACGATGGGGCCTCAGAGGTCTCTGTCCTCACGCGCAGCGACGGCCATTCCGGGACTCCTTACCTTGATCTTTCCCTATTCAGATAGTCCTCAATTTACAACAATTCATTTAGCGACCCTGCAGAGTGATTTAGGACCCCTTTTCGCACTTATGACCGTTGGGCAACCGGGACTTCAACTCCCAGAATCCCTCAGCCAGGATGCTTTAAGACAGGGGTCTTCTGACTGGGCCCTTTGGGGACTGGGGGACTTCAACTCCCAGAATCCCTCAGCCAGATGCTTCAAGACGGGGGTCTTCCGACTGGGCCCTTTGGGGACTGGTGGACTTCAACTCCCAGAATCCCTCAGCCTGGATGCTTTCAGACAGGCCTTCAAACTGGGCCCTTTGGGGACTGGTGGACTTCAACTCCCAGAATCCCTCAGCCAGGATGCCTTAAGACAGGGGCCTTCCGACTGGGCCTTTTGGCGACTGGGGGACTTCGACTCCCAGAATCCCTCAGCCGGATGCTTCAAGACAGGGGTCTTCTGACTGGGCCCTTTGGGGACTGGTGGACTACAACTCCCAGAATCCCTCAGCTGGATGCTTCAAGACAGGGGTCTTCCAACTGGGCCCTTTGGGGACTGGTGGACTTCAACTCCCAGAATCCCTCAGCCAGCATTGCTGGCTGAGGAATTCTGGGAGTTGAAGTCCCACAAGTCTTAAAGTGGCCAGGTTTAAAGATCCCCTGCCCTTAATAAACGTCTCATTTAGCCACAGATACGTCGTAACTCGAGGACTGCTTGGTATTTATATACTTTAGCCCCATTTTGGAAAACTGCTCCCCGACTTTCACCTTCCAGAATCGGCAGAGAGCTGGATAGCAATTCCCAGGATAATGGGATCCGGAATGCATCTGCAAGGAAGGGGATTGGGGGGGCCCTTGGGTGGCATAGAATAACAGAGGTAGCAGTAGTAGTAGTAGTAGCAGTAGTAGTAGTAGTAGTAGTAGTAGTAGTAGTAGTAGTAATAAAGTTGGAAGGTACCTCAGAGGTCATCTAGTCCAACCCCCCTAATCAGGCAGAAAACCCTTACAGAATCATGGAAGGACAGAGTTGGAAAGGGCCTCGGAGGTCATCTAGTCCACCCCCCCCCAGCAAGAGACCCTTACAGAATCATAGAATGACAAGAGTTGGAAGGGACCACGGAGGTCATCTAGTCCAACCCCCGGCCGAGCAAGAGACTCTTACAGAATCATAGAATGATAAGAGTCAGAAGGTCATCTAGCCCAGCCCCCTGCTCGAGCAGGAGGCCCTTACGGAATCCTGGAATGAGAGAGCTGGAAGGTACCTCAGAGGTCATCTAGACCCACCCGGTGCTGAAGCAGGAGACCCTTAACAGCACCACAGCCAGACATACCGAGACGGAAGGCACCTCGGGAGGTCATCTAGCCCAACCCCCCTCATCAACCCTCTTACCATTTCAGACCAGTGGCTGTCCAGTCCCTTCTGAACAGCTTCCAGTGTGGAAGCTGGGAGGGATCTACGAGGTCATCTAGTCCAACGCTCCCCCCCCCCCCGCGCCGCCCTGCTTGACTTCCAGCGACTCCCCTGCAGAGCTGAAGGGGAGGGGGCAAGGCAAAAAAAGGAAAGGGGAGGGGGCGTCTCCTCTCCGCCAGCGCTCTCCCCGCTCTTGGGGGGGCGGGGTCCTGGCGGGTGGGGGGGGCGGGGTCCTGGCGGGTGGGGGGGGGCGGAGCCCGCTCTGGGCCAATGGGAGGAGGCGGCGCTTCCTCTTCCGTATCGCTGCCCGAGCATGGAGCCCGCGGTGGGTGGCGGCGCTGCTGGGGAAAGTGGAGATTGGGGGGAGTTGGGGCGAGGGATGGGCAGCCCTTCCATCGGTGGAGCTGCCGTCCGGCCGCGCTGCCGTCTCCCCCTAGCTGCCTCTTCTTCCCTTGCAGACTACGGTGGGGGAGTTGCTGCGGACCCTCCGCCAAATGGGCTTCAGCGAGGGCCAGGCGGGGGCCGCCCTCCGCGCCGGCTGCCTGAGCGCCCCGGAGGCGGCCGACTGGTAATTGGGGGGGGGTCGCATGGGTGGGGGTCCCCCCCCACCGCCTGCCGCCCCCCCCCCGCCGACCGTCTCTCCTTCCCCAGGCTGCTGCGCGAGGGGGCGGACCGTCAGCCCCCGTCGCCCCGGCTGCGGCTCCTCCCGCCGATCTCGCAGCCCAGCCTCGCCGACGTCTTTCAGCCCCGCCGGCAGCCCTCGGAAGACGGGACGGGGGCGGCGGAGTCCCCCGCCCTGGGGGACGTCCGGGACTTTGCGGACCGGCAGCGGCGGGAGCAGCTGGCCCAGCAGCTGAAAGTCGAACGGGGGGCCCGGCAGCGGGTGAGCACCCCCTGGGGGGGAGGGGATGCGGGGGGGGGAGTGGAGGTGAGGGGGTGGGCCGATCCAACCCGGCCGCCCCAGATGTGCCGGTGGGGGCTGTTGGTGCCGCAGGGCAGCCCCCCCCCTCCCGGGCGTCCCAGATGTGCCGGTTGGTGCAGCAGCTGAAATCCCCACAGAGCAGCCGGCAGCGGCTGAGCTCCGCCTGGGGAGGGGGGGGAGGGGAGGGGGATGCGGGGTGGTGGGGGTGTCGACCGATCCAACTCGGACGCCCCCCGAGGACGGGTGCAGGTGAGCCGCCTCCCCCCCCCCGGGCGTCCCAGATGTGCCGATGGGAGCTGTTGGTGCAGCGGCTGAAAACCCCACGGAGCAGCCGGCAGCTGCTGACTTCAGCCTGGTGTGTGTGTGGGGGGGGGGGGAGTGTCGACCAATCCAAGCCCGGCTGGAGGGGTGGGTGGGCGAGAGATCCGGACCACACGGCAACCTGGCCCCGACTGCCTTCCCCAGGAGCGCGAGTTGGCCCTGCAGAGGATCGCCGACGACCGCCGGCAGCACCGGGCCGGGACGGCAACCCCTCGGCCCGGCCCGGGCCGCCCGCCGCCAGACGGGACGGAGACCCCCGGAGAGGCGCAATGCCTGCTCGTGGTGAGGAGACGCAACGAACACACACACACACGCTCTTCCTTTTTCTCTTTTTCCATTCATTCTTTTCCTCATTCTCGTTCTTTTTTTCTCATTCTCTTTCCCTCTTTTTCTGTCTTTTCTGTTTTCCCTTTCACTTTCTTGTTCTTTCTTTTTTCTCTTTCCCTTCTCTCTTTCTCATTCAATTTCTGTCTTGTTCTCCTTCTCTTTCTCATTCTTTACTCATTCATGTTCTTTTTTCTCTTTCCTTTTTTCTCTCTTTCTCATTCTCTTTTGTTTTCTTTTTCTTTCATTTGCTTTCTCTTTCTTTTTCATTCTTTTTCTCATTCTTTCCCTCTTTTTCTCTTTCTCTTTCCTCACTTTTTTCCTTTTCTCTTTTTTTCATTCTTTTTTCCGTTTCGCTTTTCCATCTCTTTTTTTCTCCTTTCACTTTCTGTCTTTTTCTCATTCACTCTCCTTTTCTCCTCTTTCCTTTCTCTCTTTCTCTTTCTCTTTCTTTTTCTCATTCACGTTCTTTTTTCTTTCCTTTTTTCTCTTTGTCTTTCTCATTCTCTTTCGTTTTTTCTTTCATTCACTTTCTCTTTCTTTTTCATTCTTTTTCTCATTCCCTCTCCTTTTCTCCTTCTCTTTCCTTTCTCTCTTTCCCTTTCTCTCTTACTTTTTCTCATTCTTTTTTCCCTTTCCCTTTTCCATCTCTTTTTTCTCCTTTCACTTTCTATGTCTTTTTCTCCTTTCCTCTCCTTTCCTTCTTTCCTTTCTCTCTTTCCCTTTCTCTTTCTTTTTCTCATTCTCGTTCTTTTTTTCTCATTCTCTTTCCCTCTTTTTCTGTCTTTTCTCTGTTTTCCCTTTCACTTTCTTGTTCTTTCTTTTTTCTCTGTTTCCCTTCTCTCTCTTTCTCTCTTTCTCATTCAATTTCTGTCTTGTTCTCCTCTTTCTCTTATTCTTTTTCTCATTCACGTTCTTTTTTCTCTTTCCTTTTTTCTCTTTGTCTTTCTCATTCTCTTTCGTTTTCTTTCTCTTCTTTCATTTACTTTTTCTTTTTCATTCTTTTTCTCATTCATTCCCTCTTTTTCTCTTTCCTCACTTTTTTCCTTTTTTCCTTTTCTCTTTTTCTCATTCTTTTTTCCGTTTCCCTTTTCCATCTCTCTTTTTTCTCACTTTCTATGTCTTTTTCTCATTCGCTCTCCTTTTCTCCTCTTTCCTTTCTCTCTTTCTCTTTCTCATTCTTTTTCTCATTCACATTCTTTTTTCTCTTTCCTTTTTTCTCTGTCTTTCTCATTCTCTTCTTTCGTTTTCTTTCTCTTTCATTCACTTTTTCTTTTTCATTCTTTTTCTCCTTCCCCTTTTCTTCTTCTCTTTCCTTTCTCTCTTTTTTCTCATTCTCATTCTTTTTTCCCTTTCCCTTTTCCATCTCTCTTTTTTCTCCTTTCACTGTCTTTTTCTCATTCCCTCTCCTTTTCTCCTCTTTCCTTTCTCTCTTTCCCTTTCCCTTTCTCTCTTTCTTTTTTCTTATTCTCATTCTTTTTTCTCTTTCTCTTCCTTTTTCATTCTCTCTCTTTTTTCCTCTTTCTCGTTCTCTTTCTCTCATTCTCTTTTTTCCCCCTTTCTCTCTTTCCACCCAGATCCGCCTGCCCAACGGGAAGTCTGTCCGCAGGAGCTTCCCGGCCGAGACCGCCCTGCAGAGTGTCCGGCGGTTCGTCTTGACCCAGAACCCGGAGCTCTCGCCCGCCTGCTGCTTCCTGCAGGGCATCCCCAAACGGCGCTTCGGGCCGGCTGACCTGCCCCGCTCGCTGCTGGCCCTGGGCCTGGCCCCGGGGGCCACCCTCTGCATCGTCGACCCGGCCCCGGGGGCCCCTTTGCCCTGCCCCGCCGCAGCGGTGCAGCTCACCGTGGACGCACACTCCTGCACGCAGGGGGCTGGGCAGCTGGCGGAATACGCCCCTGCTCCCCCGCCGGAGGGTCTCCCAAGCCGGCACCAGGGCGGGAAGCCTGCCATCCTGGCCCCCCATCATTGGGGTGAGTGAGCTGCCAGCAACGAGGCCTAGTAAACGCCGGGGGTCGCCCCTCAATTGTGGGGACCCTTTGCCCCTCGTCTGTGCAGTGAAGGGGGTCTGGCGGAGGGTTGCAGGGAGGATGGAGGTGGGGGCTGCAGGGCCCCCCTCCGCTGGGCTTGCAGCCGTGAGAGACTGGGGGGGTCTCTGCCTTCCCCTACTCCCCCCCCTCTCCCCCTGCCAGGGTAGGAGCCCCCCCATCTCTGTGGCGTCGAGAATGGTGGGGGCGGCTGCAGATGCGCTCTGCCTCTCGTGACCTCCACTTTTGGGGTGGGTGGGGGTCTCCCTGACAGGCCGGGGGCAGAAGCTGGACTCCGAGGAGCCCATGGAGCAGGACCATCCGGCTGCCCCCCGGGGGGAAGAGCAGGAAGGGCCAGGTCAGTCCGGGGGTTCCGGGAGGGCAAAACGGGGGCCCGCCGGGAAAGCGGGCCAAAGAGAGGGAGGATGCCCAGAAGTCCCCCCCTCCCCTTGGAAGAGGCAACAGCCTTGGGAGGAGTGGCGAGGCTGCTTGGGGGGGGTCTCTCACCCACTCCTCTCCTTCCCGTTCGAAGGGGTGCCGCCCACCGGCCCGGACGACGCTGCGGGGTACCGGCATCCGTGGCCGCAGGAAGGCAACCGGCTGCGGTAGGCGTTTTCAGCCGTGGGGTCGGGCCGGGGTGCAGGAGAGGGGGCTGGGGGGGGGCTGCCTGAAGGATCTGTTCTCTTCTGCCCCCCCCCCCAGGGAAGCCGAGGGAAGCCACCCTGGACCCCCAGATTTGCCGCTGGCGGTTGCCCGGGCGGCCGAGCAGCGCCGCTTCCTCCAAACGGCCGTCCGGAGGGAGAGCAACGAGCTTGGATCGGCCCTCCCCACAGCCACCGTGGCCCCCTCGGTGCCGTCGTCGCTGTTCCGGCTGTCCCTGCAGGCCGCTGCCGCCCTCCTCTCAGGTAGAGGGGGACCCCTCCCTCTGCTCAAGCAGGGGGCTGGACTAGAAGACCTCCGAGGTCCCTTCCAGCTCCACTCTATTCTATTCTCCCCCCCCCAAGATTCTGAGTGGTCCACCCGCCTCTCTGCCCCTCCAGCTCCCAGCAAGCAGTACTGTGGCAGCCTGGCCTCGCTGCCCCCCGGCCTGGCCCGGCTGCTGCTGGAGCACCTGGTGCGAAAGGCGCTGCTCCACCCGCGCAGCCTGCGGCTCTTCTCCGGCTGCCCCCTGCAGACCCTCTGCCTCGACTGCTACCCGTACGCCACCAACCAGCTGCTGGCCGGGCTGCCGGCCTTCCCCGGCCTGCGCCAGCTGAGCTTGTTCTCCTGCGCCCTCATCACAGGTGAGAAACGCTGGCCACTGACCGGGAAGCGGTCTGCGCGGCCTTTCCATCCCCCTCGGGAGGGCAATTGAGGGGAAGCGGAAGGGGGGGGGATTTACAGGTTCCTCGCCTCCCCAAGGAACAGATGTTGGGCTCGGGATAATAATAATAAATAATAATAAGGGTGGAAGGGACCTTGGAGGTCATCTAGTCCAACCCCCTGGGGGTGCAGGCTGAGTTGAGCAGCCTCCCCCCCCTTTCCCTCCTCCCAGACCAGGGCCTCTCCGTCGTGCAGCGTCTCCCGCGCCTGCAGCACCTGAACCTCTCGGCCTGCGTTAAGCTGACCGACAACTGCCTGCAGTTCCTGAAAGGTTCGTCTGATACACAAACACACACGCACACGCACACAGAGTCTCAATCAGTCAATCAGAATAGAGCTGGAAGGGACCTCGGTGGTCATCTAGCCCGACCCCCTGCTCGAGCAGGAGATCCTGACAGAAGCGTAGAATGGCAGAGCTGGGAAGGGACTTTCAAGGTCATCTAGTCCGACCCCCTGCTCAAGCAGGAGACCCTGACAGAATGATAGCATGACAGAGTTAGAAGGTACCTCAGAGGTCATCTAGTCCGACCCCCTGCTCGAGCAGGAGACCCTGACAGAATGATAGAATGGCAGAGTTAGAAGGTACCTCAGAGGTCATCTAGTCTGACCCCCTGCTCGAGCAGGACCCTGATAGAATCACAGAATGACCAGAGTTGGGAAGAGACCTCGGAGGTCATCTAATCTGACCCCCTGCTCAAACAGGAGATCCTGACAGAATCATAGAATGGCAGAGTTGGAGGGAACCTTGGAGGTCATCTAGTCCAACCCTATGTCAATTCAGACAAGTGGCTGCCCGTTCTCTTCTGGATGAATGAAGCAGCCACAACGTCTGGTGGGAAGGAGTTCCACTGGTTAATGGTCCTGATTGTTTGGAAGTTTCTCCTTAATCCCAGGTTGCTTCTCTCCCTTGATTGGTTTCCCTCCGTTGTTTCTCGTCTCGCCTTCTGGGGCTCTGGAAAATAAATCGACCCCCTCCTCCACTTTGGGCACCCCCTCAAATACTGGAAGACGGCTATCTTGTCCCCCCCCCAATCCTTTTCTCCAGACCGGCCGTTCCCAGTTCCCGCAGCCGTTCTCCCTATGTTTTAGTCTCCAGGCCTTTAATCGTCTGACTTGCGCTTCTCTGCGCTTTTTCCAACGTCTCAACGTCTATTTTGTGTGATGTGGGGACCCAAACTGGGAGCAGGTATTCCAGGTGTGGCCTTACTAAGGCTTTACGAAGCGGTGCTAATAAACCACTTGACGTGGTTTTGATCTTATGCCTCTGTTTATACCCCCAAGGATTGTATTTACCTTTTTGGCTGCCGTCGCGCACGGCCGGCTCATGTTTCAGTAATCGTCCACTGGGACTCCGAGGTCCCTCTTACAGTGGCGGTTTTTGAGCTAGACCAGTGGTTCTCCACCTGTGGGTCGGGACCCCATTTGAGGTCGAATCACCATTTCACGGGGGTCACCGAACAATGCAGTCCGCTATTTTTCTCCCCTTTTCCTTAGCTGTGCTACTCCCTTTTATTCTATTGGCTTTCGAAAGCCAATAGAAGAGACTCTCTTGAATAGAGTCTAATTCTATTGGCTTTTCAAAGCCAACAGGAATTGTCCAGGCTGTCTCTGCCCTGCTGAGCCCGCCAAAAGTCCCATTCTGCACACGGTGCTGCACCAGTTGAGTAGTCCTCGACTTACGACCGGTTGGGGGTCGCGGCATTAAAAAGGTTGAGAACCATTGAGCTAGACGCTACTTCAGCCTTTTGTTTTTCCCCGCCCAGGTGTAAAACATGCTTTTCTCCACCTGAAATGTCACTTTTGTTGGGGAGGATCCCCTTTTCTCTCCAATCCAGAGATTTGCGCTTTCGTTGGCACCATTTATCGCAGGATGGTGCCATTGCACTCCGTGCGACCGGCCAGTATCCGGAACTGCAGATAGGAGAGGAGGGAGGGGCTTGTGAAGGAGCTTAGGGGGGGCCCCTCCCACCCCATCTAGCCCCTCCCATCCCATCTAGCCCCTCCCACCCTATCCAGCCCCTCCCCTTTCCACAGGGCTGCCGGAGTTGTCCCACCTGGCCCTGGACCAGACCCACGTCTCCGACGCCGGCCTGGCGGACTTCCTCCTGGGGGCTCCCCCGACCCTCTCCCACCTGAGTCTCAACTGGACGGGGGTCGCGGAGCGTACCCTCCACCTCCTGCCCCAGTGCGCCCCCCGGCTCTGCGAGCTGAGCCTGAAGCAGACGGGCGTAAGTGGGGGCAGCCTTGCGGGGGGCTGGAACGGAGGAGGGGGTGAGCGGGACGGGCCGAGGCCTCTCCAACCGCATCGGGTGGTGTCCCCAGATCAGCGACGTGTCTCCCCTGCGGCATTCGGAAGCCCTGCAGAGGCTGTTCCTGGACGGCACCCGCGTGAGCGAAGCCTCCCTCCAGGCCCTGTCCTCCCATCCGGCCTTGGGCTGCTTGACCCTCTCTGGCGTCCACTCGGTCGACGGCAACCGGGCTCTGGAGCTAGTCTCAGGTACAGGCCGGAGTTGGTCTTAGCCGGCCGCGCAGGGGGGCAATCGGGGGTCTCGGTTCCAGCTTGGCTGAGCTGGGCTGGCCCTGCAGAGCTCCTGTGGCTGCTCTCCCGAGTGGCCAGCAGAGGGCGGCAGCTTCCATCTGTGGTGTCCCCCCCCAAGTGGCCAGCAGAGGGCGGCGGCTTTCATCTGTGGTGTCCTCCCCCAAGTGGCCAGCAGAGGGCGGCAGCTTCCATCTGTGGTGTCCCCCCAAGTCAGCAGTTCTCAACCTGTCGGTGGGGACCCCATTTGGGGGTCGAACGACCATTTCACGGGGGTCGCCAAACAACACAGTCCGCCATTTTTTCCCCCTTTTCCTTAGCTGTGCTACTCCCTTTTATTCTATTGGCTTTTGAAAGCCAATAGAAGAGAGTCTCTTGAATAGAGTCTAATTCTATTGGCTTTCCAAAGCCAATAGGAATGGTCCAGGCTGTCTCTGCCCTGCTGAGCCCGCCAAAAGTCCCATTCTGCAAACGGTGCTGCACCAGTTGAGTAGTCCTCGACTTATGACCGGTTTAGTCCTCGACGTACGACCGGTTGGGGGGTCGCGGCATTAAAAAGGTTGAGAACCACTGCCCCAAGTGGCCAGCAGAGGGTGGCGGCTTCCATCTGTGGTGTCCCTCCCCCAAGTGGCCAGCAGACGGCGCTAAGCCTCACCAAGCTGAGAAGTGTCGCTCAGTTGAAGGCGGAGCCATTGCAGCAGCCCCCCCTCCCGGCGCTTCAGTAGTGAGGTGGGAGAAAGAATGGGAAGAAAGAAGGGAAGAAAGAAAAAAAAGAGGGAGGGAGGGATAGCTTGGAGGAAAGGACGAAAGGAAGAGAGGGAGAAGGAAGGAAAGGAAAGGAAGGAAGGAAGGAAGGAAGGAAGGAAGGAAGGAAGGAAGGAAGGAAGGAGCCAGAGAAGAGGGAGAAGGAAGGAAGGAAGGAGCCAGAGAAGAGGGAGAAGGAAGGAAGGAAGGAAGGAAGGAAGGAAGGAGCCAGAGAAAGAATGAAGAAGAGGGAGAAGGAAGAAAGGAAGGAAGGAAGGAAGGAAGGATGGAGCCAGAGAAAGAATGAAGAAGAGGGAGAAGGAAGGAAGGAAGGAAGGAAGGAAGGAAGAAAGGAGAGAAGAGGGAGAAGGAAGGAAGGAAGGAGCCAGAGAAGAGGGAGAAGGAAGGAAGGAAGGAAGGAAGGAAGGAAGGAGCCAGAGAAAGAATGAAGAAGAGGGAGAAGGAAGAAAGGAAGGAAGGAAGAAGGAAGGAAGGATGGAGCCAGAGAAAGAATGAAGAAGAGGGAGAAGGAAGGAAGGAAGGAAGGAAGGAAGGAAGAAAGGAAGTTTGGAGGTAGGGAGGGAGAAAGGAAAGGCTGGGAGGGAGAGAAATAAGGAAGGAAGGGATAAGGTGGAGGAAGAAAGGAAAGAGGGAGAAAAGGAGGGGAGGAAGGAAGGAAAGAAGGAAAGTAATGAAAGAAAAAGAAAGGGAGGGAGAAAGGAAGATAATGAAAGAAGAGGAAGAAAGGTCGATTGGAGGAAAGGAAGGAAGGAAAGTAATGAAAGAAAAGAGGAAGGGAGGAAGGAAGGTAAATGAAAGAAGGAGGGACGGAGAAAGGTTGATTGGAGGAACGAAGGAAGGAAAGTAATGAAAGAAAAAGAGGAAGGGAGGAAGGAAGGAAGGTAATGAAAGAAGAGGAAGGAAGGAAGGAAGAAGATGGATTGGAGGAAGGAGGTAAAGAGGAAAGAAGGAAGGAAACTAATGAAAGAAAAGAGAAAGGGAGGAAGGAAGGTAATGAAAAGGAGGGAGGGAGGAAGGAAGGAGGTGGATTGGAGGAAAGAAGGAAGGAAGGAAAGCAACAAAAGAAAAGAAGGAGGGAGGCAGGAGATAGATTGGAGGAAGAAAGGAAGGAGGTGGACTGGAGGAAGGAAGGAAGGAGATTGGAGGAAAAGAAGGAAAGTAATGAAAGAAAAGAGAAAGGGAGGGCGGGAGGAAGAAAGGAGACGAGGAGAAGGGAAGGAAAGTAATGAAAGAAAAGAGAGAGAGGGAGGGGAAAAAAGAAGGAAGGAAGGAAAGGCAAGAGAAGAGAAAGGAGGTCTGCCCAGGTCTGCTAAAGCGCCAGGGAAACTGTTCCGGAGGCCGCCCATCCTCTTCCCGAGTGGTGGTTTGTGGGGGGGGGGATGAGGGTCGAGGGGGGGGGAAACGGGGCCTGGGGCCAGCTGAGGCATCTGGGGACCCCCTCTTCCAGCCCTCCCCCTGACCCGGCTGGGGCTGCCCGACCGGCACACAGTCACCGACGTCGGCCTGGCTGCCGTCTGTCGCCTGGCCGGCCTGCAGGAGCTGGACCTGACGGACTACATCCACATCACCGACGAGGGGCTGCGGCCGCTGCCTGGGCTGTGCAGGTGAGCCCTTCCCCTCCCCTCCCCTGGCTGCCCCCTCCCCCGCCTGGGCACAAAGGGGGGGAGGGGAGGGCTCTCCTCCGAAAGACCGCCAGGGGGGGCCATGAAGCTGCCCTTCTCCCCTATTGGATGCCGGTGACTGGAACCCAGGGCCAGAAGGGCGCCCTCTGCCTTCTCCGGGCGGGAAGAGGGAAGGGAAGGGAAGGGATATGGATGGAGAGGAGAGGGGAGGGGAGGGAGAAGGAAGGAAGAAAAGAAAGGGAGGGAGGGAGGGAGGGAAAGAAGAGACAAGAAAGAAGGAAACAGTAGAGGATAGAAGGAAAGCAGAAAAGGACAAAAACAGAAAGGAGGGTGAAAGGAAGGGGAAAAGCCAGACAGAGAAGAAAAAGAAAGGGAGCAAGGGAAAGAAAGGGAGGAGGAAGAAAGGAAAGAAAGAGGGAAGAAGGAAAGCAGAAAGGAACAAAGAAAGGAAATGGAAAAGCAAGAAAGAAAATAGAAAGAGAAGGGAAAGGGAGCGAGAGAAAGAAAGGAAAAGAGAAAGAAAGCGAGGGAAGGAAAGAAAGGAAAAGAAAGAAAAAGTGAGGAAAAGAAAAAGTAAAGAAGGGAGGAAGGAAGGGAAGGAAAGAAAGGAAAAGAAAGAAAAAGTGAGGAAAAGAAAAAGTAAAGAAGGGAGGAAGGAAGGAAGAAGGAAGGAAAGAAAAAGGGAAGGAGGGAAGCAGAAAGGAAGGAGGGAAAGCAAGAAAGAAAATAGAAAGGGAGCGAAAGAAAAAGAAAGGGAGGGAGGGAGGGAGAGAAAGAAAAGAAAGGAAAAGGTAGGAAGAAAGGAAAGAAAGAGGGAAGAAGGAAAGCAGAAAGGAACAAAGAAAGGAAGGTGGGAAAAGCAAGAAAGAAAATAGAAAGGGAGGGGAGGGAGAGAGGGAAAGAAAAAGAAAGAAAGAAAGCGAGGGAAAGAAAAAGGAAAAGAAAGAAAAAGTGAGGGAAAGAAAAAGTAAAGAAGGGAGGAAGGGAAGGAAAAGAAAGGAAAGAGGACGAAGGAAAGAAAGGGAAGAAGGAAAGCAGAAAGGAAGGGGGGAAAGCAAGAAAGAAAATAGAAAGGGAACGAAAGAAAAAGAAAGAAAGAGCAAGGGAAAGAAAGAAGGGAAAGGGAGCAAGGGAAAGAAAGAAAGGAAACGAACGAAAAAGCGAGGGAAAGAAAAAGTAAAGAAGGGAAGGAAAAGAAAGGAAAGAGGAGGAGGGAAGGAAGGAAAGAGGAAAGAAGAAAGGAGGGAGAAAGGAAGGGAAAAAGCCAGACAGAAAAGAAAAAGAAAGGGAACAAGGGAAAGGGAGGGAGAGAAAGAAGAGAAAGGAAAAGAAAGGGAGGAGGAAGAAAGGAAAGAAAGAGGGAAGAAGGAAAGCAGAAGGGAAGCAAGAAAGAAAACAGAAAGAGGAGGGAGCGAGGGAAAGAAAGAAAAACAAAGAAAGAAAGAAAGCGAGGGAAAGAAAGAAGAGAAAGGAAGCTAGGGAAAGAGGAAAAGAAAGAAAAAGCGAGGGAAAGAAAAAGTAAAGAAGAGAGGAAGGAAGGGAAGGAAAAGAAAGGAGGAAGGAAGGAAAGAAAGAGGAAAGAAGAAAGGAGGGAGAAAGGAAGGGAAAAAAGAAAGAAAAAAGAAAGGAAAGAAAGAACAGTCCTTCCGAGAGCCCCCCCCCCCCGTTGAGGGTGCCCACTGCTCGCCCGCCCAACCTGCCCCCCCCGCCTCTCAGACTGGGGGGGCGTCCTGGCTCTCTTCCAGGCTGCGGCGCCTCTCGCTGGCGCACACGCGGGTGACAGACGAGGGCCTGGCCCACCTCCGCGCCCTCCGGCTTCTGGAGCAGCTGCACCTGGACCGCCTGTCCGTCTCCAGCGCCCCGGTGGCCCACTGCCTGACCGGCCTCCCTCACCTGCAGGTACCGCCGGGGATACGGGGGGGGGGGTCCCTCACGGCCGGCCCTTCAAGGCGGGCCAGCACACCGACTCTGCCGGGAAGAGGGCAGAGAGGCCTCCTCTTACGACGCTTTGCTTAGTGGCCGCCTGACGTTAGAACGGCACCAAAAAAAGGACCCTTTTTCACACTCGTATTTACGACGGTCTCGCGGCGTCCCGGGATCCAAATTTGGACACTCGGCAACCGACTCATATTTGTGACGGTTGCAGCGTCCCAAAGTCACGTGATCAAAATTCAGACGCTCAGCAACCGACTCGTATTTATGACGGTTGCAGCGTCTCAGGGTCTCGGGATCAAAATTCGGACGCTCGGCAACCGACTCGTATTTATGACGGTCCCAGCATCCCGGGGTCCCGTGAACAAAGTTAGGATACTCGGCAACCGACTCGTATTTATGACAGTTTCAGCGTCTCAGGGTCTCGGGATCAAAATTCGGTCGCTTGGCAACCAACTCGTATTTGTGACGGTCGCAGCGTCCCGGGGTCCCGTGATCAAAATTCAGACACTCGGCAACCGACTCGTATTTATGACGGTCGCAGCGTCTCGGGGTGCCGTGACCAAAATTCAGACGCTCGGCAACCGACTCGTATTTATGACGGTTGCAGGGTCCTGGGCTCCCGTGATCAAAATTCAGATGCTCGGCAACCGACTCGTATTTGTGACGGTCGCAGTGTCTCAGGGTCCCGGGATCAAAATTCGGAGGCTCGGCAACCGACTCGTATTTGTGATGGTCGAAGCGTCCCAGGATCCCGTGATCAAAATTTGGACGCTCGGTAACCGATTCGTATTTGTGACGGTCGCAGCGTCCCGGGGTCCCATGATCAAAATTCAGACGGTCAGCACCCGACTCGTATTTGTGATGGTCGCAGCATGTCAGGGTCCCAGGATCAAAATTTGGACGCTCGGCAACCGAGTCGTATTTCTGACGGTCGCAGCGTCCCGGGGTCCCGTGATCAAAATTTGGACGCTCGGCAACCGACTCGTATTTGTGACGGTCGCAGCGTCCCAGAGTCATGTGATCAAAATTCAGACGGTCAGCAACTGACTCGGATTTATGACGGTCGCAGCGTCCCTGGGCCACCACCATCGCTCTCTAGGCCAGTCAGTCTGGAGGAATTGCCTAAGAGCCCACAGAGCAGTGGAAGGGGGTTCTGGGCCCGCTGACAAAGTGGTTTTGCCTGCTCTTTTCTAGGTGCTGTCTCTTGCCGGCACGGCCGTTGGCGACCCCGTGGCCAGGCTGGGCCTCGCTGGGTGCCGGCACCTGCTGAAGCTCAACCTGAGCAACACCCGCCTGACTGACCGAGGTAAGGGCTGGGGGTGGACCCCCCCCAAAAGCATCGGGGGGCTCCTTCCTTCGGCCTGCCTCCCTCATCCCCCCTATCTTCGGCAGGGCTCCGCTTCCTGGCACACCTGCCCCTCGTCCAGCTCAACCTGGACGGCTCGGGGGTGACGGCTGCCGGCGTGGCTGAGCTCGTGGCTGCCTGCCCCTCCCTCACCCGCGTCCGGAGCAGCCGCCTGAGGGTCTTGTCCCCGGAAGAGTCGCCGGACGAGGAAGAGCCCGGCCACTAGGCGGCCAGTCGGTCCTGGTGCTCACCGGGGAGATGTTTGAACCCCGACCAGCTTCTCCTGGAACAAAAGCTGGAAGGGAGCTGGGAGGTCATCTAGTCCAACCCTCTGCTCGAGCGAGAAGCCTTTAAAGAATCGGAATGACAGCTGGAAGGGAGCTGGGAGGTCATCTAGTCCAGCCCCCTGCTCGAGCGAGAAGCCCTCAAAGAATCGGAATGACAGCTGGAAGGGAGCTGGGAGGTCATCTAGTCCAACCCCCTGGTCGAGCAGGAGACACTTACATAATCATAGAATAACAGAGCTGGAAGGGTCCTCGGAGGTCATCTAGTCCAACTCACCAACCAAGCAAGAGACCCTTACAGAATCACAGCATGACCGAGGTGGAAGGGACCTTGGGGGTCATCTAGTCCAGCCCCCAGCTCGAGCAGGAGACCCTCACAGAATTACAGAATGACAGAGCTGGAAAGGACCTTGGAGGTCATCTAGTCCAACCCCCCTGCCCGAGCAAGAGACCCTTACAGAATCGTGGCATCAGAGAGGTGGAAGGGACCTCGGAGGTCATCTAGTCCAACCCCCCTGCCCGAGCAAGAGACCCTTACAGAATCGTGGCATCACAGAGGTGGAAGGGACCTCGGAGGTCATCTAGTCCAACCCCCCTGCCCGAGCAAGAGACCCTTACAGAATCGTGGCATCACAGAGGTGGAAGGGACCTCGGAGGTCATCTAGTCCAACCCCCTGCTCGCTTTTCTCAGGAGAAATTGCAACGGGGGGAGGGGGGCGGCCTGGCTGCAGACCCCCGCTCGGCCTTTGGAGGATCAGCAGAAAAGAGGGGAGGGTTGGCAGCACGTTTGCTGGGGGGATCGTAGGGGGGGGGTAGTAAGGAACCCTCCCCCCCCCCGGACTTCAGGGGTGTGTGCAACCTTTGTGCCTTTAAGCGCGGTGTCCAATAAAACAGTGCCTTGTTTGAACTCTTGTGTTGAACTGGATGTGGCCTTTCCTTCCCCCCTCCCTGTGTGGGGGGAATGGGGGGGGGGCTTTCTGAAGAGGTCAAGGACAGGATCTCCCCCCCCTCCCCACAGAGCCACACGCCCTGGCCTTCCTCACACCAAGGGGCCAGGAGGAAGGAGGGGAGGGGAGCCCCCCCCCCAAACCTTAGCCCTGCTCTGGTGGTCATTCCCCCCGCCCGGGGGGGGGCTCTCCTCCCGGGCAGGCCCCAAGGAGGAGGCTGCCCCCCCCAGAGTCGAATGTTGCTCCTGGTTTAGTGCGGGGGGGGGGACCTCGTGGAGGAGGGGGGGAGGAAGAGGAGGAGGAGGAGGATGACGACTGTGGGGTCCTTGGTGCTCTCTGAGCTGGCTGGTTTCCTTGCAGACATTTCATGACCCAGCTAGGGAACATCATCAGTGTTGGAAGGGAGGAGGGAGAGGAGGAGGAGCAGGAGGGGACACACACACACACACACACACAGACAGAAAAACACACAGAGACAGACAGACACACAAAGACACACACAAAGACACAGACATACACAGACACACACACACAGACACAAGAAACAGACACAGACATACAGACACACACAGACACATAGAGATAGACCGACAGACACACACACACACAGACACGTACACGGACACGCAGAGAAAGACAGACACACAGAGACACAGACAGACAGACAGACACATAGACACAGACACACAGAGACAGACACACACAGATACACAGACACACGCAGACACACACAGACACACAGACATAGAGACACACACACAGAGAGACGCAGACACAGACACACACATAGACACAGACGGACACACCGAGATAGACACACACACACACACACACACACACCTTGGCTCTTCCGCAAGCGCGCGCGCGGACACGCACACACACACACACATACAAAAAAACCCTTGGCTCTTCCGCAAGTAAGCGCGCGGACACACACACACACAAAACTCTTGGCTCTTCCGCAAGTAAGCGCGCGGACACACACACACACACACACACACACACACACACACACACACACACACACACACACACAAAAAAACTCTTGGCTCTTCCGCAAGTCCCGGCTGGACCCGGGATCCGCTTCCTCCTTCCTAACCGCAGATAAACCTAGTTTCTTGCGTCGCGCGGCCAACTTCCCCACAGCGGATGCAACGGGCGCCCAAGCCTCCGCCAGGTTGGTTGCGACCCCTGGATTCGGGGGAAGGGGGGGGGTCCTGCTTGCAAAAAAAAAAAAAAAACCTCCACTCCGCTCTAATTAAATACGAATCACAACCACTTAAATCAGATTAACAGATTAATTCCGGGAGGAGCGCGAGTGGCTGGCCGGCCGGAGCCAAAATTAACTGGGTTGGTTTGTTTGGGGTTTGCTGAAGGCGGCGGCGGAGGGGGGGGGCGGTTGGCTAAAACGGGGGCTGTTCAGAGGTTGGGGAGGGGGTGTCCGGTCTCTCGGGGGGGTTCTCCCCTCCTCTTTTGGGGGCGCCACCGGCGCAAGACCCCTCTCTGCAACTGGGGGGGGGACTGGGAAGCAGGACTGGAAGGGAGAAGTAGGTTAAGAGTAAGGCTCTGAATTTGGGGAGGGGGCGGGTGGGAAATTGAGGACGCCCGGAAATCCCCCCTCCCGCCCGCGAAGGGGCTTTGGGGGGGTCGCCTTCGGAAGAGCCACGGGGGCGCTTTGGGCGTGGGGATGGGGCTTTGCTGGAGGGCCCGGGGAGGAGGGGCCACGGCGAGACCCCCACCCCCCCACCTATACCTGAAATGGTACTATAGAGTTTCCTGCCTGGGCAGGGGGTTGGACTAGATGACCTCCCAGGTCCCTTCCAACTTGATGATGATGATGATGATAATGAAGAAGAGACAGGACAGCCATTTGTCTGAAATGGTCTAGGGTTTCCTGCCTGAGCAGGGGGTCGGACTAGATGACCTCCCAGGTCTCTTGCAACTGATGATGATGATGATGATGATGATGATGATGATGATGATGAAGAGACTGGACAGCCATTTGTCTGAAATGGGATAGGGTTTCCTGCCTGGGCAGGGGGTTGGACTAGATGATCTCCGAGGTCCCTTCCAACTTTATTATTATGATAATGAAGAGACTGGAAGCCATTTGTCTGAAATGGTATATAGGGTTTCCTGCCTGGGCAGGGGGTTGGACTAGATGACCTCGCAGATCCCTTCCAACTTTTTAATGATGATGATGATGATAATGAAGAGACTGGAAGCCATTTGTCTGAAATGGTATATAGGGTTTCCTGCCTGGGCAGGGGGTCGGACTAGATGACCTCCCAGGTCCCTTCCAACTTTATTATTATTATGGATCATCGCACAGTCAGCCAGATGTTCAGACTTATTATTATTATTATCGATCATCGCACAGTCAGCCAGATGTTCAGACTGGATTTGGCATTTTGTCTACCTATCGAGTCCTTACCCAGGACCTGGGAGAGGCAGATGTGGATGTTTGATGGTGTTACAGATATCGTCGCAGGATGGAAGCAGTTCCTAATAAGGCCGCCTTTTGCAATTGACTAATAGCGAATTTGTCAATGCCAATTGTGTTCAAGTGGTGCTCCAGTTGTTTTGGGATTGCACCCAAGGAGCCTATGACTATTGGTACTACCCTTGCTTGCTTTTGCCACAGTCTTTCTATTTCTATTTGTAGGTCTTTGTATTTTGTTATCTTCTCCAGTTCTTTCTCTTCTATTCTGCTGTCTCCAGGCACTGCCACGTCCACTATCCAGACTTTTTTGTCTTTCTTATCGACAATTGTTAAGTCCGGGGTGTTATGTTGCAGGTGCTTGTCTGTTTGAATTCTGAAGTCCCAGAGCAGTTTAATTTTATCATTTTCTATGACTTTCTCTATTTTATGATCCCACCAGTTTTTGCTTACAGGCAAATGATATTTTTTGCAGATCTTCCAATGCACCATTGTTGCTACTTTGTCATGCCGCTGCTTGTAATCAGTCTGTGCAATCTTCTTGCAACAGCTTACCAAGTGGTCCACTGTTTCTTCAGCTTCTTTGCATAGGCGGCACTTACTGTCTGTTGCTGTCTTCTCAATTTTGACTTTGTATGCATTTGTCCTCAAGGCTTGGTCTTGTGCAGCCAGAATTAGTCCCTCGGTCTCTTTCTTCAATTTTCCTGCTCTTAGCCATTGCCAGGTTTTATTGTTATCTGCTTTCCCAGCTATTTTTTTCATGTATTGGCCATGTAGTGCTTTGTCTTCCCATGCCTCTATTCTGTTCTTCATTTGGTCTTTCTTGTAGGCCAGTTTGGTCTCTCCAGTAGTTAGTAAGCCTTCCTGATATACTAATTTCAGTGCATCTTCATCATTGTTCTTCAGATATTCTTCCAAAGCCATTTTTTCTTCTTCAACCATCTGATGTACTTGTAGCATTCCACGCCCACCTATTTGCCTTGGTAGATAAAGTCTATCAATGTCACTGCGTGGATGAAGGGCATGATTCATTGTCATTATTTTTCTGGTCTGCCTATCCATTGCTTTTAGTTCTGCTTGAGTCCAGTCCACTATTCCAGCTGTGTACCTAATGACTGGGATTGCCCAGGTGTTGATTGCCTTTATGGTATTTCCTCCATTGAGTTTGGATTTTAAGATCTTCTTCACTCTCTTGATGTATTCACCTCTAATCTTTTTCTTGACTTCAGTGTGCTTGATGTTGTCAGCTTGAAGGATACCCAAGTATTTGTAGTATCTTCCTCATCCAGACTCTTAATGTTATTTTCGTGGGGCATCTTGATTCCTTCAGTTTTCACTATTTTTCCTTGTTTGATAGTAAGTGTGGCACATTTGTCCAAGCCAAACTCCATTACAATATCTTGGCTATATATACGGACAGTGTTGAGCAGCGATTCTATTTCAGATGATGTTTTTCCATACAGCTTCAGATCATCCATATAAAGGAGGTGGGATAGTCTGGCAGATGTTTTTGATGTTTGATAGCCATGTCCTGAGTTATTCAGTATTGTTGACAGAGGAAACAGTGCAATAACAAATAGTAATGGTGATAATGAATCTCCTTGAAATATTCCTCTCTTGATATAACCTCTCCCAGCCTCTCACCATTGATCTGCAACTGTGTCTTCCATTGTGCCATCGATCTTTGCACAAATTTTCTGATGTTTCTACTGACTCCTGTTATTTCTAGGCACTTTATTATCCAATCATGTGGCAGAGAGTCAAATGCCTTTTTGTAGTCAATCCATGCCACATTCAGGTTGGTCTTCCTTCTCTTGCAGTTTTCCAAGATCATTTTGTCTATTAGGAGTTGATCTTTTGTTCCTCTGCTATTGGGGCGGTTTCCTTTCTGCTCAGGTGGAAAGAGATTGTTTTCAACTAGATGCTGTTGCACTGCATCAGCTACTACACCAGTTAGTAATTTGAAAGTTGTTGGTAAGCAGGTAATTGGCCTGTAGTTACCTGGTGTTGCCCCTTTTGCTGGATTTTTCATTATTAGGTAGGTTTTCCCAGTTGTTAGCCACTTTTCAATTTCTCCTCCTTGTAGTATATTGTTGAACTGCTTGGCAATGAGTGGGTGTATAACAGTTAGATGTTTCAACCAAAACCCATGCAGTTCATCTTCACCTGGTGCTGACCAATTTTTGATTTTCTTTGCTCTTTTTTCTACCATTTTTGTTGTTATTACTAGTTCTTTCATTTCAACTTCTGTTTTATTTGCATCCACCTCTTTTAACCAAGCCGCATCCTTGTTGTATTTCTTTGGGTTATCCCATATCTGCTTCCAGAACTGCACTGTTTCTTCCTTGTCAGGTACTGACTGATTCCTTGCAGTTTCTCCATTGATGGATTGGTAGAAACGTTTCTGATTGGATTGAAATTGGAGGTTCTGCCTATAGTTTGCAATTCGAGCTTCATATCTACTGATTTTCCTGGCTATAGCTGTTATTTGTTGCTTTATTATTTCCAGTGCTTCCTGATCTTCCTTGTTTCTAAGTGGTATTTCTTGATTAGGTATTCTTTGGTCTTCTTGTTCTTCAGCTTCTTTTCTTTCATCTGTTCTAGCTTGCTTGCATGTGATCTTAACTGGCTGATCTTATTTTCTAGTCTAACCTTCCATTTTTCTGGTGCACTGTTTGTTTGTTTTTCTTCTTTGTTGATTTTGCATCCCAGGTATTCTGTTATAACTGCAGCGGTGCTGTACATTAGGTGGTTTGTTTCTTGCAATGAATTGGTGCTTATACTTGATATTGCAATATTTGCATCTTTTAATGCTTGTGCTAGCTGTTTCTTTGGAACAAGCTTCAATGCAGGTAGCCTTATTCTGTTGTTTTTGTGCTGTTCTGTTCTAGATGCTCAGTGCTGTTCTAGATGCTCAATTATTATTATTGTTGTTGTTGTTGTTATTGTTATTGTTATTATTATTATTATTATTATTATTATTATTATTATTATTATTATTATTATTATTATTATTATTACTATTACTACCTCTCGGAGTCCGCCCCCTTTCCAGAGGGGTTTGGGCAGCCTTGGAGAGGGGAAGGGGCGTCCGAGGAAGAAGAGGAGGAGAAAGACGGCGCAGGGGCTGAGAGACCCCCCCATTTGCTGGGGAGGGGTCGCCCCTTTACTACAAGGGGGGCTGCTTCGCTGCGACCCCCACCCACCCACCCATTCCAAGGGGCGGGGGGGGGAAGCCTCCGCGAAGGGCGCCGCCCGTCGGCACTTTCGCTTTCACTTTCCCTTTCAAGGGCGAGCCACGTTCCGCGGTCCGGGCAGGGAAGGAAACGGGCGCGGGCTCCGGATCGGCCAGGTCGGAAAGCGAGACGGGGCAAGTGAGTAGGGAGGAGGGTCTAGGGCGGGGGGGGGGCGGTGAGGAGAGAGACCACCCCCCCTCCAGATCTGCGGAAAGACCCCACCCACTCCTCTCCCCCCCGGGTTGTGCTCTCAGACACCCCCCCCTCACCCTACCCCGATTGACCTCCAGGACCCCCCCACCCGGACGAAGGAAGAGGAGGGGGCGCCCACCTCCCCACCCCGGGATCGGAGGGCCCATGAGGCGCAGCCGGAGCAGGAGAAGAGGATGGAGGGAACACAACTGTTTTTACCTTTCCGTGGGGCTGGGGAGGGGGGAGGGGGCTGGCAGTGCCCCTCCCTTTTCTGGGGGGGGCGCAGGGGGTCCCCCAGCTCCTCAGAGGGGGGGTTGGCTTCAAAAGCGTCGGGGGTCTCTGGAAGGTGGGGAGGGGGGCGCGGCCTCCCCCTGCTCCCCACACGTTTCCCCCCCCCGCCGCGGGTGGGCCGATTCCTGGATTCAAAAGATGAATTAAAATTTTTTTTTAAATTGGCTGTTTTTTTTCCCCAAGGCAAGGCGGGGGGGAGGGGAGGGGCGGCGCTCCAGTTCCCCCCTGCTCATCCCCCCCCCAAGAAAGGTCCTCCCTCTCCACGGGACGGGTGGGGGGGTCTCCCCCATCTCGAACCTTGCAATTAAGAAAAAACGTTTCTAATCGGGAGTTAAGAAGAGTTAAGCTGGCCTCTCTCTGGGCTAGGACACTTTTGAGGAACTTGTCTGGAATGGTGGAGGGTCTCCTGCTTGAGCTGGGGGCCGGACTAGATGACCTCCCGAGGTCCCTTTCAACTCTTGTCATTCGGTGATTCTGTAAGGGTCTCCTGCGGGCTGGACTAGATGACCTCTGAGGTCCCTCCCATCCCTGCGATTCTGTAATTCTGCAAGGGTCTCCTGATTGAGCCGCGGGTTGGACTAGCTGACCTCTGAGGTCCCTTCCAACCCTGTAATTCTGTAAGGGTCTCCTGCTTGAGCAAGGGGTTGGACTAGATGACCTCTGAGGTATCTTCCAAGTCTTGTGATTCTGTAAGGGTCTCCTGCTTGAGCAGGGGGCTGGACTAGATGACCTCTGAGGTCCCTCCCAACCCTGTAATTCTGTAAGGGTCTCCTGATTGAGCCACGGGTTGGACTAGATGACCCCGAGGTCCCTTGCAACTTGTCATTCTGTGATTCTGCGGGCTTGAGCAGGGGACTGGACTAGATGACCTCTGAGATCCCTTCCAACTCTTGTCATTCTGTAAGGGTCTCCTGCTTGAGCAGGGGGCTGGACTAGATGACCCCTGAGGTCCCTTCAAACTCTTGTCATTCAGTGACTCTGCAGGGGTCTCCTGCTTCAGCAAGGGGCTGGACTAGATGACCCCTGAGGTCCCTTCAAACTCTTGTCATTCGGTGATTCTGCAGGGGTCTCCTGCTCGAGCAGGGGGCTGGACTAGATGACCTGTGATGTCTGTTCCAACTCCAGTGATTCTGTGATTCTGCAAGGGTCTCCTGTTTGAGCCATGGGTTGGACTAGATGACCCCCGAGTCCCTTCCAACTCTTGTCATTCTGTGATTCTGCGGGCTTGAGCAGGGGACTGGACTAGATGACCTCTGAGATCCCTTCCAACCCTGTAATTCTGTAAGGGTCTCCTGCTTGAGCCGCAGGTTGGACTAGATGACCTCTGAGGTCCCTTCCAACTCTTGTCATTCTGGAAGGGTCTCCTGCTCGAGCAGGGGGTTGGACTAGATGACCTCTGAGGTCCATTCTGTGGGGGGAAAAGGGTCTATTTTTTTGTTTGTTTGTTTGTTTTCCAGAAACTGCAGAAGGCTTCGCAGTCTGGGAGGCAAATACGGGGTATATATTTTAATCCCCCCAGCCCTGCTGGAAGCTTGAGAATAGGAGCTAGGAGGGTGTGATTGCGACTCCAGAGACACAACCCCTAGGAACTCACAACCATAAAAGGTAATTTGTCAATAAGGGGGGGCGGGGGCAATAGCATTCGGGAAGTGGGGGATGTAACGGGGGGGGGCGGAGATAATGTATTCAGTTTAGAACAGTGGTTCTCAACCTTTTTAATGCTGCAATCCCCCACCAACCGGTCGTAAGTCGAGGACTACTCAGCCGGTCGTAAGTCGAGGACTACTCAACTGGTGCAGCACCGTTTGCAGAATGGGACTTTTGGCGGGCTCAGCAGGGCAGAGACAGCCTGGACAATTCCTATTGGCTTTTGAAAGCCAATGGAATTAGACTCTATTCAAGAGAGTCCATTCTATTGGCTTTCAAAACCCAATAGAATAAAAGGGAGGAGCACAGCTAAGGAAAAGGGGGAAAAAAATGGCGGACGGCGTTGTTTGGCGACCCCCGTGAAATGGTCGTTCGACCCCAAATGGGGTCCCCACCCACAGGTGGAGAACCACTGGTTTAGAAGCTTTGGGATAGGTTGGGCTGGCCAATGGGGAGAGGCGGAAGGTAAATGTGCACAAGGAGCGGACAAAGAAATAAATGACAATAGTTTTCTCTTGGAAGTTTCGGCTGTGGTGAGGATTTTTTCTTTTTTTTTTCTTTTTATTTCAACTAGACGAATCCGCACACACTTCCCGTGATTCTGTTAATTCTGTGAAGGTCTCCTCTTGCAACCGCGGGTTGGACTAGATGACCTCTGTGGTCCCTTCCGACTCTGTCATTCTGTAAGGGTCTCCTGCTCGAGCTGGGGGTTGGGCTAGATGACCTCTGAGGTCCCTTCCGACTGTTATTCTGTAAGGATCTCCTGATTGAGCCGGGGATTGGGCTAGATGACTTCGGAGGTCCCTTCCAACTCTGTGATTCTGTAAGGGTCTCCTGCTGGAGCAGGGGGCTGGACTAGATGACCTCGGAGGTCCCGTCCAACTGTGTTCTGCTTCTCTCTCTCTCTCTCTCTCTCTCTCTCTCTCTCTCTCTCTCTCTCTCTCTCTCTCTCTCTCTCTCGTTTCCTCGCAGGCTGAGGGAATCGCTCTGCAACCACCAGCAGCTGAGAATGACCTACCAATCGACTGGGCAGACGCTCCTGGTAGGTCTGAGTGGGGTCTCGGAAAAGGATGGGTTGGGGGGCAGGTTTTAGAACGGGGAAGATGCAGAATAGAAGAAAATAGAATAGAATAGAATAGAATAGAATAGAATAGAATAGAATAGAATAGAATAGAATAGAATAGAATAGAAAATATAGAATAGAATAGAATAATAGAAAATAGAATAGAAATATAGAATAGAATAGAAATATAGAATAGAATAGAATAGAATAGAATATAGAATAGAATAGAATAATAGAAAATAGAATAGAAATATAGAATAGAATAGAAATATAGAATAGAATAGAATAGAAATATAGAATAGAATAGAATAGAATAGAATAGAATAGAATAGAAAAAGAATAGAATAGAATAGAAATATCAAATCGAATAGAATAGAAAAATAGAATAGAATAGAATAGAAATATAGAATAGAATAGAAATATAGAATAGAATAGAATAGAAATATAGAATAGAATAGAAATATCAAATAGAATAGAATAGAAATATAGAATAAAATAAGAATAGAATAGAATAGAAATATAGAATAGAATAGAAATATAGAATAGAATAGAAATATAGAATAAAATAAGAATAGAATAGAATAGAAATATAGAATAGAATAGAATAGAAATATAGAATAGAATAGAAAAAGAATAGAATAGAATAGAAATATCAAATCGAATAGAATAGAAATATCAAATCGAATAGAAAAATAGAATAGAATAGAATAGAAATATAGAATAGAATAGAAATATAGAATAGAATAGAATAGAATAGAAATGTAGAATAGAATAAGAATAGAATAGAATAGAAATATAGAATAGAATAGAAATATCAAATCGAATAGAATAGAAATATAGAATAGAATAAGAATAGAATAGAATAGAAAAATAGAATAGAATAGAAATATAGAATAGAATAAGAATAGAATAGAATAGAAATATAGAATAGAAATATAGAATAGAATAGAAATATAAAATAGAATAAGAATAGAATAGAATAGAAATATCAAATCGAATAGAATAGAAATATCAAATCGAATAGAATAGAAATATAGAATAGAATAGAAATATAGAATAGAATAATAGAATAGAATAGAAATATAGAATAGAAATATAGAATAAAATAGAGTAGAATAGAAATGTAGAATAGAATAGAATAGAGTTGGAAGGGACCTCGGAGGTCATCTAGTCTAGCCCCCTGCTCTAACAGGAGGACCTATACTATCTCAGACAGGGCCCGTCCAAGTACCTGGGGCCCTCCAGCTCCAGACCAGCCCCGTCCACTTCAGGTAAAACGATAGGCAGCAAGGGAGGGTCTGCTGCTGCCAAACTATGCAATGCCCGCCCCCCCCCACAAAGAAAGGGTGCCCCCCACCCCACTCCCCTCTTCCCCCTTTTCTCCTCCACCTGGTTCCCTTCCCTCTTCCTTCTCTGTCCCTCCCTGCCTTTCCTTCCTTCCTGGGTCCCCTTCCGAGCATCCCAACCCCTCCTTAGCTTGAGGGCGGGGCTCCAGAGCCGCTATGGGGCGGGGCCTTGAATGGGGTGGGGGACCCGGCTGCAATTTCTGGGCACGAAGAGGAGGGGGGGCGAGAGTCACGTCTGACCGGTTTTCCCTTTCCACTCTCCCAGGGAGCGACGGATGAGGAGGCCGCGCTGGGTAAGTGAGGAAGCCCTGCCTAGTGAGGGCGAGCGGATGCCAGGGCAGAGGAAGAGCTGCGCCGGATGGGTCTCTCCCGTGTAGCAAATAGCCCGAATCTTGGTGGCCGGCCCAGAGGAGGGATGCGCTTCCTTCACCCCTTCCCCACTCCTGAGCACGGCTGCCCCCCCTTCCCTCTCTGCTGTCCACGGAGGGTCCACTCCGGCCGCCTTCCACAGTCTTGGAGACCCACCTCGGACAGGGTCTGGAGACGTGGGGGGGGAACGCAGGATAGCCGCAGAAGGAAGGCGGCAGGCGCACCGGTGGGCTGGGAGGAAGGGGCTGGCATGGGGCAGTTGTGGGGGGGGCAGTGAGACCCTGGACGACCCTCCGGACCGATTTCGACCGTCAAAAAGGCACCTCGGGATTCCCGCGCGCCACGCGGATCGTCCTTCCGGCGGGTCTGTCCGACACAAACCAAGCTGGAAGCCGGCTTGCAAATTTTGGGGAGGGGGGGGCAGGAGGGTCATTCCTGGTTGGTCCAACCTGCCTCTGTATCCTGCCCCCCCCAGCCCAGTGGGTCAGGCGTCCTCCCCCAGCCCTTTGCCGACAGTCCTGAGCCTCTTCTGAGTCGTCGACTCACTTGGACCCAGGTTTACTGGATTGGGGGTAGGGCTATTTGGACATCAGGTGTGTGTGGGGGGGGGTGAAGCGGGGTTCAAGGGGGTGCTGGGACCCCGGTTGTCCTCTGAAACCAGAGAGTCATTTCCTTGTTTTTATCAGCGGAGCTTTGCTAAAGTGGGGTTTGCAGGTCGTGGGCATCTGCGCGGCCGAGCACACCCCAATTTAGCAACTCTGGGAGAGTCCCCGAAACGCATCCCGGAAGCGCTTCCGGGCAGGGGGGTGACCCTTTTTCCAAAGGGATCCCTATTTCCAGCCTGCTCCACGACACCCCGACCTGGCACAAGAAATATATCTGGATTCCATTTTGTAACGTCGTCGTCTTCTTCCAAACCCGCAGGGGAGGACGACGAATTCCGGCTGATCCTGGTGGGGAAGTCCGGAGGCGGGAAGAGCGCCACGGGCAACACCATCCTCGGCCGGGGAGAGTTTGAGTCCCACCTGGGAGTGAAGGCCACCACCTTGAAGTGCGAAAGGGGGGAGGGAAACTGGCAGGGCAGGAGGATCTGCGTGGTGGACACGCCCGACATTTTCGACTCGGAGACCTGCCGCGAGATTCTGCAACAGGAGATCGCGTCTTGCGTCGCCCTCTCCTGGCCCGGCCCCCACGCCCTGATCTTGGTGACCCAGGTGGGGCGCTTCACCGCCGAAGACGTGGCCGCCGCAAAGCGGGTCTGGGATATCTTTGGGCCCAAGTCCGCCAGGCGCACCATCGTCCTCTTCACCTGCCTGGAGGATTTGGGAGGGACCTCCCTCCAGCAGTACGTCCGAAGGTCCGACAACCAGGACCTGCGGAAGCTGATCCGGAAGTGCAGGAACCGTTTCTGCGGCTTCAACAACAAGGCCAAGGGCGCCGAGCGGGAGAGGCAGGTCTCGGAGCTGATGGAGTTGGTGGAGAGGATCTTTGCGGAGAACCGGGGGAGATACTACGTCATCCAGCTGAACAAGGCGCCCAGCAACGTACGGGAGGAGAACGCCCGATCTTTCACGGCCATCGTTCGGGAAAGGCTGTTACCGAGGCCCTTGACCTGCACAGAAATTGTGGCCCTGTCTGTCTTGATTTCCTTCTTGCTGGCAATTGTGATTGCGGTTGTTCTCATGTTCTACTTTAAGTGAGTGGACTGTTTTGTTCGTAACTGGATAACGGCCCGGTTTAGCCAATGAGGCGGACGGCCGACTTCGACGGAGAGCTAGGACTGCAGGAAAAAAAATAATAATAACGATCGCAACCAGCGGGGGCCTTCCATGGAGCGCCTGTGTATTGCGGGTGTGTGTGTGTGTGTCAGAAGGAAGCCTGTGAATATATAATCACAAGTGCCTAATATTTTATCAGCAACGTATTCACTGGGATCCCACATTTAACTTGCTCGTTTTTTTTTTTGTAGCCAACGCTCTAAAACAGTGGTTCTCAACCTGTGGGTCGCGACCCCATTTGGGGTCGAACGACCATTTCACGGGGGTCGCCAAACAACGCAGTCCGCCATTTTTTTCCCCCTTTTCCTTAGCTGTGCTACTCCCTTTTATTCTATTGGCTTTTGAAAGCCAATCGAATAGACTCTCTTGAATAGAGTCTAATTCTATTGGCTTTTCAAAGCCAATAGGAATTGTCCAGGCTGTCTCTGCCCTGCTGAGCCCGCCAAAAGTCCCATTCTGCAAACGGTGCTGCACCAGTTGAGTACTCCTCGACTTACAACGGTTGAGTAGTTCTCGACATACGACCGGTTGGGGGTCGCGGCATTAAAAAGGTTGAGAACCACTGCTCTAAAATCAATTGAGTCTTGTTTCGCTTTTGTTTTCAATGTCAATCTGTCCATTTCTGCACACGCTTTAAAAGATTTTTTTTTAACGAATAGGAAACGAGAATGTTCTACTTGTATGATCGATTAGTTGATGTAAGATAGCGAGAAATAGAATGATATCTCAATGGCTCAGACGTGTATTCTGAACGTTAAGACTTCGTGACGAATTGTGAAAATGGGAACTTCGGTTAACTCAAATTTCCCTTGGAAATTATAAATATTAAAATGTGGAAAGTTCAAGGTCAATAGGAAATTAAAAATTGGGGGGAACTCATTAGGACGTGGATTGTTTATAAAGACTGTATGTTAAAGTGCAAAGGATATGTGTAAGGCAAAAATGATTGATAAATCTTAAGAATGTCGTTTTTATTTAATTGGTTTAATAAGAATTGTATTAGTTTAAACTGAAGGCAGTAAATGTTAGGGGGGAAAAGATAGGAACAATTAAATGTAGGCTTGTACTAAGGATACTTGTATGTTATCGTATTATCCATTAACCCAGCCGCCACCTTGCTTTTTAAATACTGAAATGTACACCTAGAAAATCAATAAAACTTTTTTTTTAATTTTAATTCTTCCTCTGTTGGTAAATCATCTGTGTTTCTATTCTGTTCTATTCTATTTCATTCCATTTTGAATTCTACAATATTCCATTCCATTCTGTTCTATTTTGAATTCTATTCTATTCTCTATTCTATTCTATTCTATTAATTCTATTCTATTCTATAATTCTAATTCTGTATTCTACTCTATTCTCTATTGTATTCTATCCTGTAATTCTATTCTATTCTATTCCATTTCATATTTTCTATTCTGTTTATTCTGTTCTGTTCTGTTCTATTCTGAATTCTATTCTATTCCATTCCATTTCATATTTTCTATTCTATTCTATTCTATTCTATTCTATTCTATTCTATATTCTGTTTTATTCTATTCTGAATTCTATTCCATTCCATTTCATATTTTCTCTTCTATATTCTCTTCTATATTCTCTTCTATATTCTATTCTATTCCATTTCATATTTTCTATTCTATTCTATTCTATTCTATTCTATTCTGAATTCTATTCCATTCCATTTCATATTTTCTATTCTATATTCTATTATATTCTATTCTGAATTCTATTCCATTCCATTTCATATTTTCTATTCTATTCTATTCCATGTTCTATATTCTAGTCTATTCTGTAGACTGCTGATTGTGGTGAACATGCTGGGGGGATCCGGGGGGGAGGGGGGAAACAGGTGGGACGCTGGGAGAGCCAGCAGTGCCTGCCCTTCGGAGCCCAGCTGTGTCCCCAGCCCCCTTTGCTGGTCTCCAGCCTACGGGACCTCTTCCCCCCGACAGATCCCAAAAGCTGGGGAGCTGGAGAAGGGATCCCCATGGGGAGGGGCTGGTCTGTCCATGGGGGGGGGGGTGGCACAGCTCACCCAGAAAATGAACCCAAGCCCCACTCGACCGACACGGCCCGTCTTCACGATCCCGGTCCACCACGTTCTGTCCATACTGCGGCTGGCCTAGAAGAGGGGTCCCCAACCCCGTGGGCCACAGACCGGTCCCGGTCCACAGCTGGTTAGGAACTGGGCCGCACAGCTGGAGGTGAGCTAAAAGAGGGTCTTCCATGGGGTGAGTCTCTGGGGAGGGGGGGCTGGGGTGGGAACAAACCCAATGGAAAAGACGAGAGACAGCGGCAGAAAACAATTCTTGCTTTTCAGATCCCAGAGGTTGATTTTGCTAATCATTTGGAAGGTAGCAAGCGTAACGAGGCCGCCTCGCTTGCGTTAGTAACCCCTTGCGGTGCGGGCCACGGGGCGTCGATTCCAAAAGGACAGCCGTAGGCCGATGGCCAATCAGTCGGGTCCAGTCCCAAGCCCTTTACGCCCTTTTCTCGTTCTGAGACTGTAGTCGGATAACTTTTGCTGACTTCGGCTGACTGTCTGCTGACCTCCTGCTGTACACTGGAACCCACGTCCACAAGCGAGTTTCCGTTCCTCTTTTCCCAGGAGTACACTACTCCCGTTCCAAATACACACAGGACTACCGACGTTGCAATTTCTGATTGCACAGAGCTCAGCAGATTGCACGTAGTGTGTCCTCGTCCGAGGAGCAGCGTAAACGGTCGAGTGGAAAGCTTCAACTCCCTTCGGTGGGGGGCGGTTTTTAACAACCGACTGGACCACCCTTTGTGTGAAAGGGTCGAGGGTTTCCTCCCTGAGCAGGGGGTTGGACTAGATGACCTCCGAGGCCCCTTCCAACTTTTTTATTATTTTTATTTTATTATTGTTGTTGTTGTTGTTGTTGTTGTTATTATTTCAGGTTTGTTCTATTTAGCCTGATCTTATTATATGAGAAGGGGCTATATTTTCATCACACACACACACACACACACACACACACACACACTGCCCCGGGTCCTCCTCTTCCCCCTTCCGGGAATTTGCAAGCAGGCCCTGGCCCAGCTTACAACCAAGGCCCCCCCCAAAGCCTTGTGCTTTTTCATCAGGGGTGCAAGTGGGCAGGGGTCTTCCAACTGGACCTTTTGGGGACTGGGGGACTTCAACTCCCAGAATCCCTCAGCCAGGATGCTTCAAGACGGGGGTCTTCCGACTGGGCCCTTTGGTGACTGGTGGACTTCAACTCGCAGAATCCCTCAGCCAGGATTCTTTAAGACAGGGGTCTTCCAACTGGGCCCTTTGGGGACTGGTGGACTTCAACTCCCAGAATTCCTCAGCCAGGGGCCTTCAAACTGGGCCCTTTGGTGACTAGTGGACTTCAACTCCCAGAATGCCTCAGCCAGGGGCCTTCAAACTCTGCCCTTTGGGGACTGGTGGACTTCAACTCCCAGAATCCCTCAGCCAGGATGCTTTAAGACGGGGGTCTTCCAACTGGGCCCTTTGGGGACTGGTGGACTTCAACTCCCAGAATTCCTCAGCCAGGGGCCTTCAAACTGGGCCCTTTGGTGACTAGTGGACTTCAACTCCCAGAATCCCTCAGCCAGGGGCCTTCAAACTCTGCCCTTTGGGGACTGGTGGACTTCAACTCCCAGAATCCCTCAGCCAGGATGCTTTAAGACGGGGGTCTTCCAACTGGGCCCTTTGGGGACTGTGTACTTCAACCTCCCAGAATTCCTCAACCAGGGGCCTTCAACTGCCCTTTGGTGACTAGTGGACTTCAACTCCCAGAATCCCTCAGCCAGGGGCCTTCCAACTGGGCCCTTTGGGACTGGTGGACTTCAACTCCCAGAATCCTCAGACCAGTATGCCTTTAAGCCGGGGTCTTTCCAACTGGCCCTTTGGAACTGGTGGACTTCACTTCCCACTAACTCCTCAGCCAGGGGCCTTCAAACTGGGCCCTTTGGTGACTAGTGGACTTCAACTCCCAGAATCCCTCAGCCAGGGGCCTTTCAACTGGGCCCTTTGGTGACTGGTGGACTTCAACTCCCAGAATCCCTCAGCCAGGATTCTTTAAGACAGGGGTCTTCCAACTGGGCCCTTTGGGGACTGGTGGACTTCAACTCCCAGAATTCCTCAGCCAGGGGCCTTCAAACTGGGCCCTTTGGTGACTAGTGGACTTCAACTCCCAGAATGCCTCAGCCAGGGGCCTTCAAACTCTGCCCTTTGGGGACTGGTGGACTTCAACTCCCAGAATCCCTCAGCCAGGATGCTTTAAGACGGGGGTCTTCCAACTGGGCCCTTTGGGGACTGGTGGACTTCAACTCCCAGAATTCCTCAGCCAGGGGCCTTCAAACTGGGCCCTTTGGTGACTAGTGGACTTCAACTCCCAGAATCCCTCAGCCAGGGGCCTTCAAACTCTGCCCTTTGGGGACTGGTGGACTTCAACTCCCAGAATCCCTCAGCCAGGATGCTTTAAGACGGGGGTCTTCCAACTGGGCCCTTTGGGGACTGGGGGACTTCAACTCCCAGAATTCCTCAGCCAGGATGGCCAGACTCAGCTGGGCTTCAACTTGGCACTTTTCTATGTGTGTGTGTGTGTGTGTGTGTGTGTGTGTGTGTGTGTGTGTGTGTGTGCTTTTGTTTTGATATTCGAAGATGCCTGGTGTGTTCTGGCCACATCCTGCCTGCTTCTTGCAGCCTGGTTTGGGGTGTGTGTGTGATTGTCTCTGTGTTTGTGGGTGTGGGTGTTGACAAGGCTTGGAAACCGAGGCTTTGCAGCTGAGGGAGCTGCAGGCTTCGGCCTTCTTGGCAAAATGGCTGATGCTCTGCAGAGTTGGTTTCCCCTCTCTCTCTCTCTCTTTCATTCTCTCCTTCTTTCTTCTCATTCTCATTCTCTTCTCTCTCATTCTCTCTATCTCTCATTTTTTTTCTCTTCTCATTCTCTCATTCTTTCTCTCCTCTCTCTTCTCTCTCTCTATCATTCTCTCCCTCTCATTGTCTCCCCCTCTCTCTAATCTCTCTCATTCTTTCTTCATTCTCTCTCATCTTTCTCTTTCATTCTTTCTTCTCATTCTCTTTCTCCCTTATTCTTTCTCTCCTCTCTCCCTCTTCTCACTCTTTCATTCTCTTTCTCCCTCTCATTGTCTTCCTCTTTCTCTCTCTAATCCTCTCATTCTTTCATTCTTCTCATTCTCTTTTCTTTCTTTCCTCTTCTCTCATTCTTTCTCTTCCTTTCTCACTCTCATTCTCTCTGTCTCCCTCATTCTCTTTCTTCTCATTCCTTCATTCTCTTTTTATTCTTTCTCTCCCTTTTTTCTTTCTAATCATCTCTCATTTTCTCATTCTGTTTCTCCATTCTTTCTCTCTTCTCATTCTTTCATTTTCTCTTCTCATTCTTTCGTTCTTTCTCTCATTCTCTATCTCTCCTTCTCAGTCTCTCCCTTTCTCTCTCTAATCCTCTCTCTCTCTATTTTCTCAGTCTTTCTCTCTTCTCATTCTTTCTCTTTCACTCTTCTCATTCTCTCAGTCATTCTTTCTCTTTCTCTATCTCTCTCTGTCTCTTTTTTCTTTCTAATCTCTCATTTTCTCATTCTTTCTCTCCATTCTCTCTCCTCGTTCTCTCTTTCATTCTTTCTCCCTTCTCATTCTTTCATTCTCTTTCTCTCTCATTCTCTCTCTTTCTTCTTAGTCTCTCCCTTTCTCTAATCCCCTCTCTCATTTTCTCATTCTTTCTCTCTTTTCATTCTTTCTCTCCTTTCTATCTTTCTCTATCTCTCCTTCTCAGTCTCTCCTTCTTTCTCTAATCCTCTCATTTTCTCAGTCTTTCTCTTCTCATTCTTTCATTCTTTCTTTCATTCTCTTCTCTCGTTCATTCTTTCTCTTTCACTCTTTCTCTCTCTCATTCTCTCCCTCGGTCTCTCCTTTTTTTTCTTTCTAATCTCTCATTTTCTCATTCTTTCTTTCATTGTCTCTTCTCATTCTTTCATTCTTTCTCTTTCATTCTCTTCTCATTCTCTCGTTCATTCTTTCTCTTTCACTCTCTTCCTCTATCCCTCATTCTCTCCCTCAGTCTCTCCTTTTTTTTCTTTCTAATCCTCATATTTTCTCATTCTTTCTCCTCATTCTTTCTCTCTTCTCATTCTTTCTCTCCTTTCTCATTCTCTATCTCTCATTCTTCTTAGTCTCTCCCTTTCTCTAATCTTCTCTCTCTCTCTCTCATTTTCTCATTCTTTCTCTCTTTTCATTCTCTCTCTCTCTCTCTCTCTCTCTCTCTCTCTCACACACACACACACACACACACACACACACACACAGTTTTCTCAGCCCTTCTTGAACACGCTGGTCTTTGGCTGGTTTTGCCGGAGGACTGTTAAGCACCCTCTCTTCTCCCTCACTTCCCAATTTCTGAGAAACCAAAAGTCACTGGGGGAATCTGAAAGGGAAGCGCCCTGCTGAGCCATCAGAAAAAATTGAGATTTGCGCCTCTTTCTGCTTCCCTGTGTGGTCAGAACTTTCCACTAGCCCCCCCCCCTCAAATTTACAAGAATAAAACTCAGGAGAAGAAATACGGAAGCAACGTTTCACTCACGAAACCGCTGAAACTTTGTTTTTTGTTTTTTTTTTAATAAGGATTTTATTAGTTTTTCTCTTACACACATACGTTCGTTTTTCAACCAGCCTGCTGTCTGGATTAAAAAAAAACCAAACAAATGCTAAGACATAATTAATTCTGAATCCTTGGCTCTTTCCTCCAGCCATTTGTAGAACGGCTCCCAGTTTTGGGAATATTCTGTTTCTCCTTTATCGTTCAATCTCATCGTTAATCTGTCCATTGCGGCCCATTCCAGTATTTTTTTTTTTGAATGACTTCTTCCTCTGAGTGTACTGCTTCATTTTTCCAGTACTGCCCGAAGATTATTCTTGCCGCTGTTATGACGTGTAAAGCCAAATATCAACTTTGTTTACTAGTCTTTTTCTGGCCTTGCACCTAGTAGAAAACGTTCAGGTTTAAAGTCCAACATTTTTTTCTAACCACGCCTGTATCTTATTCCAATAGGCCTTTGCTTTACCACATGTCCACCAAACACGAGAAGACAGTGGTTCTTCACCTGTGGGTCGGGATCCCATTTGGGGTCGAACGACCATTTCACGGGGGTCGCCAAACAACGCCGTCCGCCATTTTTTTCCCCCCTTTTCCTTAGCTGTGCTACTCCCTTTTCTTCTATTGGCTTTTGAAAGCCAATAGAAGAGACTCTCTTGAATAGAGTCTCATTCTATTGGCTTTCCAAAGCCAATAGGAATTGCCCAGGCTGTCTCTGCCCTGCTGAGCCCGCCAAAAGTCCCAGTCTGCAAACGGTGCTGCACCAGTTGAGTAGTCCTCGACTTACGACCGGTTGAGTAGTCCTCGACTTACGAGATGGCTTACGGGTAATGTAGTTTAGCTATTCAGTGAATCCCATGTTAACACGTCAGTAGGATCACAGGATATCCTGGCTACGTGCCACTTTGGAATGTCTTTGTCTGAGATAAGCATGGGATCACCGGAGGACACACGCACGGTCTGAACCCACGCTAGAAATTGATGTGAAGGAATGATTGATTTTTTTTTCCCCAAAAGGCAACTGGATTTTTCTCGTTTTTCCTTTGAGGATGTTTCACTTCCCATCTAAGAAGCTTCTTCAGCTCGGAACGGATGGTGGGGAATGGAAGGATTTATCCTCCTTGCAGACAGATGGCCATTTGCCTCCTTTTAGAGAAGCGTTGAGGCCGCTTGGAGGCTTATCTGTGTCCTCGGAGTCACCCGAGTGGTGCAAACAGGTGTGTGGGGGCCTTCTTGGAACTGCCGAAAGGACCGTGTTCTGGAGCTGTGCCTTCTAGCACGAGGGTTACTGCAAGCACTGTGGGCAGTCGCAGCCTCCCTTGCGCGTGCCTTGTGGGCGGTTGCGGCCCCCACTCACGCGAGCCTCATGGTGAGCACTCGTGGTCCCACTCACGAATGTGTCACATGAGCGTTGTTGCCCGTGCTTGTGGTCCCACTCACACGAGCCTCATTGTGAGCACTCGTGATCACACTCACGAGTGTGTCCCATGAGCATTGTTGCCGATGCTTGTGGTCCCACGTGCGCGTGCCTTATGAGCACTCATGGTCCCACTCACGAGTGTGTCCCACGAGTCTTGTTGTCCGTGCTTGTTGTCCCACTCGCACGAGCCTCCTCACGCGTGCTCCCAGCTCCGCTCGCCCGAGTGTCGCGGCGAACGTTGCGGGCACTCGTGCTGTGCACACACCTGCCCCTCCCGCAAACTTACCCCCACTTTCTCTCCTCCCCTCACATCTGGGCTGCCAACCTGGAAAAGAATGGGGCGTTGTGCATCCAGGAATCATCTGTGCTTCAGTTTGAGAGGCCGCATTCTCTCCCAGCCCACGTGAGTCCTTCTTACGCTCACAAGGAGTAACCCCTCTTCCAACAAGCAAGGGACCGCAGAAAAAAAAAACCAATCCCCTTTTATTATTCACAGACCTGAGTCCGCGTCCAAGGCAAACAAAGCACAATTCACACAGAAACTCGATTCCTCAACACGAACGGTGGCCTTCGGCCACCAGCAACTCCCACCCCTCCCCTTTTATTATGCAGCCCAGGCGTGGCTTCCTAATGCCTTCTCGTTTGCCTTTGGAGCCACCCCATCGCATCCCTCTGTCCTACTCGCTTTGCCTGCCAGCGCATTCGTGCATCCGAGATTTGTCCCAGCTGTTCTTCATCACTGTCTCAACTCAGGCTGCATCTCAGCCTGCGTGCGAGTAGAGGGGCCAGGCTCCTCGTCCGACTGTTAAGTCTTGGAGCTCCTCAGAGCCTTCCTCTTGACTCTGATGTCACGCCAGGACCCTCCTCCTCCTCTTCTGATTCCTCAGATTCAGCTGCCGGGTCCACTGGATGGCGAGGAATCGCAACGTGCAGACCGCATGGACTCACCCCACCAGCGGCCTGCGCCCGTCTTCAGCAGCGATGGGACCCAGGGCAGGAAAACGTCCTGCTGAATTAGTGCCATCCGGGGGGGGGAGCCTTTTGCAAACAATTTGTTGAGCCCTTTGCGTAGGGTTCCCCCCCCCACGGTTTCGCCTGTGCAAATTTCCACCAAGTTTGTAAAAGTAATTTGCCTTATGAGTGCATTGTGGTAGGGTGGGGTGGGGTGGGGTGTGTGGGTAGGGGGGACCCCTCAGACCCCACGGGGCTGAAGGTCCAAATATCCCTCAAGAAACATCCACCCACGATCCAGCCCTGGAATAGGGCGGAAGAAATAGAAATGGAAATAAATGGAAATAATAGAAATAGAAATAAATAGAAATAGAAATAATAGAAATAATAGAAATAAATAGAAATAATAGCAATAAAAATAAATAGAAATAATAGAAATAGAAATAATAGAAACAAATAGAAATAAAAATAAATAGAAATAGAAATAATAGAAATAAATAGAAATAGAAATAAATAGAAATAGAAATAGAAATAGAAATAAATAGAAATAGAAATAATAGAAATAAATAGAAATAGAAATAAATAGAAATAGAAATAAATAGAAATAGAAATAGAAATAAATAGAAATAGAAATAATAGAAATAAATAGAAATAGAAATAAATAGAAATAGAAATAATAGAAATAAATAGAAATAAAAATAATAGAAATAGAAATAGAAATAATAGAAATAGAAATAATAGCAATAGAAATAAATAGAAATAATAGAAATAGAAATAAATAGAAATAGAAATAAATAGAAATAGAAATAATAGAAATAGAAATAATAGAAATAAATAGAAATAGAAATAATAGCAATAGAAATAAATAGAAATAGAAAGAAATAGAAAAAGAAAAGGAAGGAAATAGAAATATAGAAATAACAGAAATAAAAATAGAAATAACAGACTAGAAATAATAGAAATAGTAATAAATAGATATACAAATAAATAAAAATAGAAATAAAAATAAATAGAATTATTAATAATAGAAATAGAAATAAATAGAAACAGAAATAATACAAATAGAAATCAATACAAATAGAAATCAATGGAAATAGAAATGATAAAATTCTTTATTGGCCTCGTGTGATTGGACATACAAGGAATTTGTCTCCGGTGCTTAAGCTCTCACTGTGCGTACAAGCAAGAAGTGGTAAATCATGATCGTAAATCATACAACGCGATCATCCTAAATCATAAGATACAACATTTAGTGATAGCCATAGGGTACGAAATAAAAAGCAATCAACATAAATCAAAATAGGATACTAAATGAAAAGCAATCGACGTAATCATGAGATACAAACAGCAAAGTTACAGTTATACGAAGCTAAGGAAATCGGTAATAGCAAAGAGGGGCTGCCCCAAAGAAGAGGGAGTCAAGCTCTTCTCCAAAGTGCCTAAAGGCAGGACAAGAAGCAATGGATGGAAACTAAATCAAGGAAACAAGCCACCCGGAACTAAGGAGAAAGTTGCTAACTGTGAGGACAATTCACCAGTGGAACTGCTTGCCACTGGAAGCTGCGGGCGCTCCTTCAATGGAGGTTTTTCAGAAGAGACTAGACAGCAAGTCCCCTCTCTATTAAAAACAAAAGTCTCAAATTGTATGGGGCCTCCTGCTCGAGTAGGGGAGTGGACTAGATGACCTCCGAGATCCCTTCCTGTTCTATTCTGACAGAATCTCTGGAGATTCTCAGTCATCCAAGCCCGGGCTATCCCAAAGGTGCTTTGCCAGAAGGCCACTGGACTTTCTCGATCTTTTTCCTCGGAAGACATTACGCTTCTCCTCCCAAGAAGCTTCTTCGGTCGGCACCAAAGACCCGTCAGAACCGAGGAAGCTTCTGGGCCGTGAAGCTTCCTTGGGGAAAAACGCAGTCCAGTGGCCTTTTGGAGAAGACGAGAAAACCGCGCCTTTGGGATAATGGCGCAGCCCAAGGGATCCAGGACCACCTTCTCCGGTCCAGACGTGCCAGAAGGGCGTGTCCATCCGGAGCTCCGGATCACAGGATGTTGCACAGCCATCCGGGGGCGTTTTTTTTGTCCTCCTCCATCATCTCCTTGGTGTAAAAGGGGCTGGATTCGTTCTGGCGCACGAGCTCGTCCACCATCCGGATCAGCTCGTCGACCTGATCCTGCTGTTCCTGCCCCACCGCCTTGTTGTTGAAGGCCAGGCACCGGTTCCCACAACTCTGAATCTGATCCCTCAGCGCCTGCAAGCCCTCGTCATCCCCGGACAGCATTTCGTGAAGAGAGCGCCCCTCCAGGTCCTCCTTCCGGGTGAATAAGACGATCATGTAACTCTTAGCTTTGAGGCTGAAGATGTCTTTGAGGAGTTTAGCAACCTCCTTCTCCTCCTGGCTGAAATGGCCCAGACGGATGACCTGGATGATGACATGGGGACCCGGGGAGCAGAAGGTCAAGCATCTTTTCACTTCCGCAACGATCACCGGCGTCCGGTATTTGGTATCGAAAAAGCCCGGCGTGTCGATCACACCCAGAGTCCTTCCATCCGGGAGGGTCCCCGTGGCCATTTTACATCTGGCAGTGACGGACCTGGCCGCCATCTTGGACGTGAAGGCTTTCTTCCTTAAAATGGTGTTGCCGGTGGCACTTTTCCCGTTGCCTGTTTTGCCGACCAGGACGATCCTCAGGTCTGGAATTGGAAGGGGGAAGAGAGGGAGAAATCGGTCAGTGGCGTCCCGTCGTGCGCACAGGAGAGAACTGAGGGGAGAAAACGGCAAAAAGAAAGCGACGCGCAACAGGGAGAAAGCACAGCTGCTTCACTCGAGTCCAAATAGGCGAGAAGAAACAGTCCCGCTTCTCAACAACGGCACCCTAAAAAACAGATTCGGAATACGAGTCAAAATACGTGAGAATATACAGGCCCGCCTCTCAAGAACTGCACTGTAAAAAACAGATTAGGAATACGAGTCAAAATACGTGAGAATAAATAGCCCTGCGTCTCAAAAACGACACCGTAAAAAACAGATTAGGAATACGAGTCAAAATACGCGAGAATAAACAGCCCTGCGTCTCAAAAACGACACCGTAAAAAACAGATTAGGCACAGGCGAGAATAAATAATCCCACCTCTCAAAAACGGCACCGTTTTTGACCCAGGAAACTACGGGCCTATCAGTCATACAGCATTCCCCGGAAAGATTCTGGAAAAGATAATCAAGCGACGATGATCTGACAAATACCTAGAGGTAAACAAGATCATAACCAAAAGCCAACATGGCTTTGTGCAAAACAGACACACTTTTGTGCCTTCTTTGATGAGGTGAAAAAAATTAGCGGATCAGAGAGATGCTGTGGATACACATACCTGGGTTTCAGCAAAGCATTCGAGAGACTAGACCACAACCTACTTCTTGGTAAGCTAGAAAAAAAATGTGGGACACGCAGCATCGCCACCCGACGGATTTGTAGCGGGCTGACGAAGCCGTACTCAAAACGAGTCCTCCTTAAGGGTGCTATGTCCACTTGGAGGGAAGTAAGCAGTGTTGGTACCATACGTTTCTGTCTTTGGCCCCAAATGCCTGCGACACTTGCGCAATTTGAGGCCCTGAACGCCCGCGATGCCATGAGTGGGAATGTGCACACACACACACACACACACACACACATGCACCAGCCAGCCTCTCAAGGGCCCGGTTGTTTACGCAAGTGGGGCCGAGAGTGCCTGTGAGGCTTACGCAAGTGAGGCCCTTGGCGCCTGCGAGACTCGTGCGAGTGAGGCCCTTAGCACCTGTGAGACTCGCACGAGGCCCTTAGCGCCTGCGAGACTCACCTGAGTGGAGCTGTGTGCCTGCATACACACTCACAAACCAGCCAGCCCCTCAAGGGCCCGGTTCCTTGTGCAAGTGGGGCCCAGAGGGCGACACACGAGTGAGGCCCAGAACGCCCGCAACACTTGCGTGAGCAAGGCCCCAAATACCCCCGCAACATTCGCGTGAGTGGGGCTGTGCCAGCAAGCACACGCGGGCGCACCAGCCAGCCACTCATGGGGCCCAATTGTGAATCGGCCACGGACCGGTAGCAGGCTGCAGCCGAGACCCCCCTCCCGAAGGGCAGCATCAGAAGACAGCACCTCCCACCCTTCTCCTAACCGAGATTCACCTGATTCAGCCGCACCCATCTTGCCAGCAGCTGGAGTCTCTTCCGCCGATCTTCAGGGTCTCTGAAGGAAAGAGCAAAGCGAGAAGGGAGTGAGTGCTTCAAGAGTGAGCGAGTGAGTGCATCTTTCGGAAGCAAGGGAAGGCGCAGCAGCACGGGAGAAAGAGCAGAGAAGAAAGAAAGGGGAGGAGAGATGAGGCCAAAGACCGCCCGTTGGCAAACCTAAATACAGGCAGTCCTTGAGTTACAACCACTGCGGCGTTCCACAGTTCTGTCATTAAGCGAGGCGTCGCTTAAGTATGTCTGGACCCATTTTACCGCCTTCATCGCTGTAGTTCTTAAGTGGATCACCGTTTGTCACCCGGTCGTTAAGCGAATCCGGATTTTCCCCATTGACGTGGCTCGGCGGAAGGCCGCAAAAGGAGCCACGGCCACAGTCACAAATACGAAGCCATTGCCAGGTGCCTTACGACTGCACTGGAAAAAAACCGACTCACGCTTACGACCGTTGCCACATGCCCCGTTAATTAGGTTAATGGAGGGGGAAGGGAATAAGGGAGTCTATGACTTACGATTATTTATCTCTCTCTATATCTATCTATCTATCTATCTATCTATCTATCTATTTACCTATTTCTATCATCTATCTATCTTACTATTTCTATCTCTATCTATCATATCTATCTATTTTGAACTATCACCTATCTATATATAATAATAATAATAATAATAATAATAATAATAATAATAATATATAATAATAGTTAAAGTTGGACAGGGACCTGGAGCAGTCATTCTCTGTCCAACCCCCTGCTCGGCAGGAAACCCTACACCATTTCGGACAAATGACGTCCAGTCTCTTCTTAAAAACTTCCAGTGTTGGAGAATTTACTGCTTTGGAGGGCAGGTTGTTCCACTGATTAATTGTTCTTAACTGTCAGAAGGTAATGTAAGGACCCACCCCACTTTGCATCTTAAGAAGACAGAACTCTTGGAATAATTCTTCCAACAGGAATCCTTTAGTAAGAGAAAATGGTTGCAGGCATGCTAGACAGGACTTGGGGTTCAAGCTCTTTCATTCAAGGTTTTAAGGGGTTCCCCAGTAGTCCCACCCAATCAACCCCCCTTCCAGTGATAGTTTCAAGTATCACAATTCCACCCCCTTTCTTCTTTCTTCCGTCTGGATGGAGACTTCAGATAACTACATGAAAGGCAAATACTCTCCTTTGGTATGCTAACACTTCGAGGTTACAATAAACACACATTCAACATTCAGCCCTTTGAAGTGTACTGAAGGAAGTGAGGGCCATAAAGCCCCTTTGTTATCCCCCTTCTCTCCCTCTTATGGCAGAATCCAGAGATGGCAGAATTGGGAGTTTCTATATTTGATAATTAAAGATGAAATATAATTGGATTCTGACAGGAAGATTCTCATCGAGTTATAGGTGCCTTCTCTCCTTGATTAGTTTCCACCCAGTGCTTCGTGTCCTGCCTTCAGGTGCTTTGGCAAATAGCTTGATTCCCTCTTCTTTATGGCAGCCCCTGAGATATTGGACTACTGCTATCATGTCCCCCCTTGTCCTTCTCTTCGTTAAACTAGACATACCCAATTCCAGCAGCCGTTCCTTATATGTTTTAGCCTCCAGTCCCCTAATCATATTTGTTGCTCTTCTCTGTACTCTTTCTAGAGTCTCAACACCTTTTTTACATCGTGGTGACCAAAACTGGATGCAGTATTCCAAGTGTGGCCTTACCAAGGCATTGTAAAGTGGTATCAACACTTCACGTGATCTTGATTCTATCCCTCTCTTAATGCAGCTCAGCACTGTGTTGGCTTTTTTGGCAGCTGCAGCACACGGCTGACTCCTATTTAAGTGATTGTCTACTAGGACTGGATGGTCCCTCTCACAGTTACTACTATTGAGCATGTGCAACCTATTGATGTGCATTTGGTTTTTCTTGCCTAAAATGTAGAACTTTGCTTTGTTCCACCATGATTTCATTTGTTAGTTAGTGCCCAGTGTTCAAGTCTGTCCAGATCCTTCTGTATCTGAAGCCTGTCTTCTGGAGTGTTGGCTATTCCTGCCAGCTTGGTGTCGTCTGCAAATAATAATAATAATAATAATAATAATAATAATAATAATAATAATAATAAGGGACCTTGGAGGTCATCTAGTCCAACCCCCTGCTCAGGCAGGATACCCCGGACCATTTTGGACAGAAATAGAGATATATCTATCTCTTTTTCTGTCTTTCTATCTCTATCTATATCAATTTATCTCTATCTATCTATCTATCTATCTATCTATCTCTCTCTCTCTCTCTCTCTCTCTCTCTCTATATATATATATATATATATATATATATATATATATATATATATATATCCATCTCTATTTATATCTCTATCTCTATATCATATCTATATCTATCTATCTCTATCTATCATCCATCTATCTCTATCATATCTATCTGTCTATCTCTCTATCATCTATCTATCATCTATCTCTATCTATCTATTTCTATCATCTATCTGTCTATCTCTATTTCTATCTCTGTATCTATCATATCTATGTATCTATCTATCTATCTATCTATCTATCTATCTATCTATCCTATCATCTATCTATCTATCTATCTATCTATCTATCTATCTATCCTTTTTTTGTATAAAAAAAAGAGTGCCGGAACTCACACACGTCATACCAGATGAAATAATTACAATCATTCCTTTTAATATTATTATAAATTAATTATTATGCATAATACACATTGGAAAGAGGAAGCTTGAGAATTCACACGGTTGAAATTGAGGATGTTGTAGGCTCAGATCTTTTTCTCTATACAAAATAATGGTCATAATAGTAATAATAATAATAATAATAATAATAAGCAGGGGCATGACAAAGTAGCAACAATGGTGCATTGGAAGATCTGCAAAAAATATCATTTGCCTGTAAGCAAAAACTGGTGGGATCATAAAATAGAGAAAGTCATAGAAAATGATAAAATTAAACTGCTCTGGGACTTCAGAATTCAAACAGAAAAGCACCTGCAACATAACACCCCAGACTTAACAATTGTCGATAAGAAAGACAAAAAAGTCTGGATAGTGGACGTGGCAGTGCCTGGAGACAGCAGAATAGAGAGAAAGAACTGGAGAAGATAACAAAATACAAAGACCTACAAATAGAAATAGAAAGACTGTGGCAAAAGCAAGCAAGGGTAGTACCAATAGTCATAGGCTCCTTGGGTTCAATCCCAAAACAACTGGAGCACCACTTGAACACCATTGGCATTGACAAATTCGCTATTAGTCAATTGCAAAAGGCAGCCTTGCTAGGAACTGCTTCCATCCTGCAACGATACTTGTAATACCATCAAACATCCACATCTGCCTATCCCAGGTCCTGGGTAAGGACTCGATAGGTAGACAAAATGCCAAATCCAGTCTGAACATCTGGCTGACTGTGCGATGATCGATAATAATAATAATAAAGTTGTAAGGGATCTTGGAGGTCATCTAGTCCAACCCCCTTGCTCAGGCAGGAAACCCTATTCGATTCCAGACAAATGGCTGTCCAATAATAATCATCATCATCATCATCATCATCATTGATATCTGTAATACCATCAAACATCCACATCTGCCTATCCCAGGTCCTGGGTAAGGACTCCATAGGTAGACAAAATGCCAAATCCAGTCTGAACATCTGGCTGACTGTGCAATGATCCATAATAATAATAATAATAATAATAATAATAATAATAATCCCCCAGTGAGGCACTACCTTGACGTGGTTGTGGGGCTTGTGTACTCTGAGGAAGATGAGAGCTATGCCAGAGGTTCAACCATACTGGACAGGTCTCATCAGAGGAGTCAGACAAAGAGTGTCTCTCCCATAAAAAATATGGTGAGACGTAAATTTCAGAATGCCATACCGGCTCGGATGTCGCCCGGGTTAACAAGGTCCGCACTAGATATTGGAGTTCCTGGATATCTGGTGAAAAATGGGTTACAGGACTCAGGACTGTTGGCTGAGCAACCAGGGCCAGCAGCTGCAGAACTACTGGAAGAAAAGGTGTTTACCCGTCGCAGATACACAGTGATGGAAAACAAAGAAATAATGATCTGTTACTACAGATCAAGTCCAACAAGAAGAGGATATCTAAAACAAATGCACCAGTTCTGGAAAGAACAACATCCAGAATCAGAAATAACAGAACAGAGACTAGCAGATCAACGCCGATTTATAACAAGAAATAAAGTATTCACACAAACAGAATTGGACGAACTGCAAAGGTTTACCCAGGGCAAAGAAATCAAAGCCTTACCAGAAGTAATTCAGAATGTAGAGGCAAACCAGGGGGAGTTTGCAGTGAAGGAATCCAGCAGAGATATACAACTGTTCTCATTTGGAAACCAGGCACCTCTTCCTCAGGAAGAACAAAACCCTCTAACTACAGAAATAAAAGAATTGAAACAAAGAATAATTGAGCATCTAGAACAGCACAAAAACAACAGAATAAGGCTGCCTGCATTGAAGCTTGTTCCAAAGAAACAGCTAGCACAAGCATTAAAAGATGCAAGTACTGCAATATCAAGTATAAGCACCAATTCACTGCAAGAAACAAACCAACTAATGTACAGCACAGCTGCAGTTATAACTGAATACCTGGGATGCAAAATCAACAAAGAAAAAAAACAAACAGTGCACCAGAAAAATGGAAGGTTTAGAACTAGAAAAATAAGATCAGCAAGTTTAAGATCACATGCAGCACGCTAGGACCAGGATGAAAGAAAGAAGCTGAAGAACAAGAAAACCAAGAAACCTAATCAAGAAAATACCACTTAGAAACAAGGAAGATCCAAGGAAGGCACTGGAAATAATAAAGCAACAATTAACAGTCTATAGCCAGAACATCAGTAGATATGAATCTCAATTGCAAACTAATAGGCCAGAACCTACATTTCCAATCCAATCAGAAACGTTTCTACCAATCCATCAATGGAGAAACTGCAAAGAATCAGTCAGTACCTGACAAGGAAGAAACAGTGCATTT